GACCGACGTGCATTAGTACACTCTTCCTAGCATTGATTTCTAAGCCCCACTCTCGAGCCCATCTGACTAAATCGTCTAAGTCAGCTTGAAGATCCACATGATCAGCCGTACTTTTTATTGTTCTCCAGATTTTTACATCATCCGCAAACAATAATGTCGACGACCTAAGTAACAGCGGTAACTCATTAACGTAGAGAAGGAAGAGCAGGGGGCCTAAGATGGTGTCTTGAGGTACACCACTTCTGACCGGCTTCCAATCGGATAGCGTTCCGTTAACCCTCACTCTCTGTCTGCGGTCACATAAGAAATTTCCTATCCACACATGTACAGTACCTATTATTCCGAAGCCCGTGAGCTTCTGCATAAAACCTACGTGTGAAACCTTGTCAAACGCTTTGCTAAAATCTATGAATATCACGTCGACAGACAGACCGTGATCTAGGGCTGCTGTCCAATCCTCCCTCGCAATAAGCAAGTTAGTCAAGCATGAACGCTTGTTACGAAATCCGTGTTGCTCAGGAGCTAACAGATTGTGTAAATCTATGTGGCTTAGCAACCTAACCCGAATTATCTTTTCAAGTAACTTAACGACTATACTAGTTAGACTAACAAGTAGGCAGTTAGATACTATATGTCTCCGACCGTCCTTGAATATAGGACTGACTATAGCGTCCTTCCAATCTCTAGGGAGTTGAGCGAGTGAGAGGGACATGTTGAAGAGTTTCGCGAGCGGTTTTGAAATAATGTCCGCAAGAGATGACAGCAACCGTGGATGTAACTCGTCAGGGCCCGGTGTCTTACCAGATTTGAGGTTAGTTATCAACGGAAGGACAGTTTCCTCAGTCACCTGTACAGATTCCATGATTAGTATCTCGGTGTGATTGGGACAAGTATTTGTTGAAATAAACGTAGAGAAGACTTCGCTAAAATAGTTTGAAAAAGTCTCAGCTTTTGCTCGATCTGATTCAGCTAGTAATTCTGAATTTTCGTGTAACAGTAACGGGGGAATATCATCACTACGTTTCGCCCGCCGTTTAACATACGAAAACAATCGTTTCGGACATGTACGGCTATCATATACTAACTGTCGTTCGTAAATGGTACGGGATTTGGCTATGGTTTTCTTACAGATTTTACGGAATTTTCGGTACTCACGCTTAAATGGTTCATGACCTGTCAACACGAATAAGTCCCAGAAATGTTTACTACGATTTAACAGCTTCCGGGTTTCCTTATTAATCCGTGGAGGGCAATTTGATAGCCTACGTGCTGACCATGGGATAAACGGCGACGTTACGGACTCGAATGTAGCCTTAAACTTATTCCATTCATCTTCGATCAATCCATCCGCGTCGACCGACCAATCAGTCGAGATAGCACAGTTTCTGATCGCCGGAATATTGGCTCGCCAGATATTGGGACGGGGTGGAGCAGATACGAATTGTATACCATGTGTCCTAAACTTAAATTGAATTACAACGTGATCACTGTTCACTAGTGGAGGAAGGTGCTGGATATCAAAGACATCCTCAGAGTGGTGGGTGAGGGCGAGGTCCAGCAGTGGCGGATCATGTTGCAAATCAATATGTGTCGGTTTTGTGATACATTGTACAAGTGCACACTGAATAACGGTAGATAAAACGTCGCTATCGAAACCACTACCTGGAGCTGTAAGCTCTATCCAGTTGATATGCGGTGCGTTGAAGTCCCCAATGATGAGACAACATTCTGCCATACTCCAAGAACAGATGTGTCTTAGGATAAAGTCGTCAGCAAGACAAGACGGACTACGGTTTTCCCCCCTATAGTCACTAACCCATTTCTAGATTTAATCTTACAACATGCCACCTCACATGTGCCACTGATATGAGCCTCCGATATGGTTGTTTGTATACGAAAGTGATCCCTTACGTATAATATTATACCCCCCCTTTGCGACTTGAAACTCTATCACTTCTGATACAGATATAACCAGCAATGAAAGGAGAACAGTCTATATCAACGGTGAACCAAGTTTCTGTAACAACGATTATATCGGGACATAACTCTTGCACCATCAGACTTAGCTCGGACGTTTTATTTCTAAGACTACGAGAGTTCGTGCAGCACACACTTAAGGTGTTTTGGAAATAAATCGTTCTACCCATACAGGCCTCGGAAGTATGGGCTTCCAAGACCTGACTACCCGAAAACCCTTAATGGTAAGGTTATTTTCTCCATTTAACTTGCGAGTCCTCAACTCCGTAAGAGCATTCTTCCACTTGATTCGATCCTCAAGCGGCCAATCTGGTCGAATACGGATATTTGAGTAATGAGTTTTTGGTGCGTTTTTCAATAATATGTCTCTTTCTTCGAAACTCCCGAGAACCAGCTTCAGGATTCTTCTTGGTTGGGTCTGGCCTCCAACCCATTTACCAAGTCGTAATACTTTTGTAATATGTACCCCTAAAACCTCTTCAGGTAGTACGTTTCTTATCACAGACTCCACTAACTGCAGGTCATGTGCATGTCTTCTATCAGGGTCGTTATCTTTTGACTCCTCTAGATTCCAAAAATTAAACTAGGAAGGGGTTTAGCTTCCTTTGAAACTGTGTTAACAGCTTTCGACCGTGATATCTTACGATTAGCTTTTATTGTAACAGAGTCCTGCGAATGACTCACAACAGTGTTAGACGAAGCTTTACTTTGGGACTTTGGCGGATTGGTCTGAGAGTCCACCAAGGACTTATCAAGTAAACAGTCATTAGTTTTAGCTGTTATTCGATTTTTCTTCTCAGTCACGCCAGGATGGGTTTCACTCTTACCATCAGATTTTAGTAGTGCAGTTTGTGACTCACAGTGAGAGTCCATCAGTGAGTTACTAACTACCTGTGTACTGCCTACAGATTTTTTCTTTTCGTTTCGTTTCCTACGTACCGTAGTCCATTTTTCATCCCTCAGGACATTGGGACTATTCGGAACGGTGATGGTTTTATCCAGTTCGTCGGTTTCCACTAAAGATGCATTGTTATCAATGTCAGTACCAGGTGGTATTACTCCCCTTGTTAATGTTAAAGGAGATCTCACTTTTGCGTCGGTCAGAGTCGGTTGTTTGAGAGGTCGCGTAACAGCAGATACTACACTGACACATTCGTCACTGTCAGTGCCGGTGTCGTCAGCGCATGTGTCATCGTTTTTCTTGCAGGCCAAAGCCAATAGGCCCATAGCCTCCTTATTTAGCACCTTTTTATCCGTACAGCAGAACATACAAAGCCAATGCGAGTTAGGCTTCGAGCATCTTTAGTATGCCATATGACTTAGGCGTGTACACATTTTGTGGTACCACTTTTTACAGTCATCACACTGCATTCCCTCCTCAACGGGGAACAAACAATTTGGTTGCCCACATTTGTGAGTCTTACCAACCATTGTAATTAGGTTTAAAAGGTTTAAAAACACAAAATGATCTCAAAGTGAACACAGGTGTTAGTCAAAGACTTAAAAATGGTACTCAGGACAAAATTTAGCAAAAAATTTCAAACTTTAACCAGAGTACTTTTAGTTAAAGTAGACCAAGAATGCTTTTTGGTGCAATAAGTACCCAAAGCAAGTATAATCACAACAAGTACAAAAATCACTGCCCTTTTTGAAACGAGCGCGTAGGTTATTGTTAGTACTAGACGGGGGAAAACGATGGGGCATATTAACACCCAAATGATAATTAAAGATTCGAAATGCCAGTATATGGCCACCTTGCGTCCTGTCCAGAGCCATTTGAACATAAGAATTTTGTATATACCGTTGTCATAGAAGTGGTTAATGATGTTTCCGTTACATATCCTATTTCGATCTAATTCATACACATTTGTATGATAAAAAACGGGGTGAAATGCAATAGAATATATTTGAAACCTGAATTTCAATACAAAAACCGAGGCTTTTCAACTCTCAATTTACAATAACTTCATCACAAGGGCGTATCGTCATTGGTTGTTATGTGCTACAGTTTGGTTATTCAGATTGGTAGGATAAGGTACATGTCAGTCCATTGTTTACCTCGTTTTTATTTTACTTTATACCGCTTAGTCACTAAAAACTCAAAATCCGTAATAAGTCGAAGATCCTTAGTAGGAAAGCGAAGTATTGAAAAATCATCACATTGATTTTCAGGGTCGCATCAGATCGAGTGTTTACATTTTTGTTTGTCGGTCGTTAACAATTGCAAGAAGTTAAAAAATATTCTGATTTAAATGTAGGCAACCAGGGGTGTGTAGGGTTGAACTAACTAGTTTTTCTTCACCACTCATTATTAATAATTATTAATTATTTGACTTTATATCTGTTGTTATTCCTTCAAACAAATACCTAAGGCCATCAGATCTTAGTTCTAGAAGGGAAACGCCAAATGAGGAAAAATGTTTCCACTCGGTTCCCAAGTGTAGTGTTTTTTTCAACTTTTTCATCACGTCCAATCAACTTTCCTCTAGCTTTCTGTTCAGATCATTTCATTTCCAAAATAACAGGAGTCTAGGTGGCCTGTATTAGTCCTAGCAATGGTGGTCTCTCAGTTAACCCAACTTGTCGAAATATGGAGCTCCACTTACGTGTTCCAGTCTTCAGTAATAAGGATAGGTCCATCGACTTATATAAACCACTGAGCCCGACGTGTTGAGGTAATGAATCCCATTCGTTGAAAAAGTCGATAGCTGCCAATTAATTTGTTCTGTGCTTGTGGACGTCTCCAGAGTGTCCTTGTAAACACTGTTTTTGAAGACAAGAAAAGTGAGAGCATATCAGATGCAAATTTATCACTAATTTAAAAACTGACTAATATACATCATAATGCACACGAAAACATTTACTGGGGACTGTCAAATTTTAAATTACTCAGATAATTTCTTTAGATCATTTTGAAGCTCCAAGCTATCGCTCTTTTTATCGCTTTCCATATCTTGATATCAACATAACAAAACCGATGATTATAGGAAACTAGAAAGGTCATTTACATATCGGAGGAAAAACACTGGTCCCAAAACTGTACCCTGAAGTACTCAGCTAAGCATAGTTTCCCAACTAGACAACTTTGAGTTCACTTGTACTCTTCGTTGGTGTCCACATCAATAGATTGCCTCCAACCCTGACATTTCTTAACTTACATAACCGATTGTGAGGAATTCTGTCAAAAGCTTTGCTGAAGTCAATGTAGGCTGCATCTATAAGTGACGTTTGGTATTTAAGAGCGCACCAGCTTTCACGAGCCACTAATAAGTTAGTGAGACATGAATAACCTGTTTTGGTAATCGACCCTGGGTTATAGATAGATTAAAACATATGCTTCAAGGAATCACGACAAAATTGGCTAATTCCTTTGGTAACCTAAGATGTATTTTATCAAGTTTCATGGATTTTCCTATATCAAGCTCATTTAACAGACCACATACATCGGGTTCTTTGATTGTCACAGTGTCTAGTGTGTTTGGGTTTTGCATGAACCGAATAGAAGAGCATCTCTACTGTATATACATTGCTAAAGTAATATGTGAATACCTGAGCTTTACCATGATCGTCCTCTGCTAATGATGCAGCACTACTGTCCACAATGCTGGAATATTTCCTCTTCTTTTAGTCCTTTGGTTTATGTACGAGTATAAGCATTTTGAGTAATCTACAGAGTGCTTAACAAGTTTTCCTTTGTACAAACTTCTAGACTTGCAGAGAATCAAGGCCATTACTAACACTAATTGGCACCATTAATCACTCTTATCTACTTTCTGTTGATTTTTTGTCGTGTTGATATAGTGTGGTAATTTAAAAGTCATTACCAGGCCGCACTTTGTATTTATCTGTTTTCTGTTCCGTCACTAGTGTGACAGGTAAAGTAATGAATTTTAATCGACCACAGTTATTAGGACATGTATTACGTATCTCCAAACACCGCTTACCTCGACTCTTGATGACGGATGGTGTAAGGTAGGGGTGACCAAACCAAAACTTGGTATCAGTCCATGAAGTCGATGGAGGTTGGACTGAGCTGCATAGGTAGGTTCGGACTCACCAGTTGAGGTTCGCATGATCATCTTAACCATTGGTTAGAAACCTTGGATGAAATAACATGGAAACTTTCCCATTGGAACATGTGCACTCATTTCTTGAGCTCATTTAAATCTTAAGTTTGTAAATTATTTTAAAATGTTTTTCTGTTTCACGAATCTGTATTTTCTAAATTCACATGTTCTATGCCTAATACTTCCTATTACCACTAATACTGTTACCACGTTTACTACTATGTCATCAGTGTGGTGGTGTGATGCCTTGAGTCGATGCACTTATGTACCAGGCTCTACTCTGTCTATGACTAGCTATCGAATGCCCTGGTACGGTCGGGGGTGGGGAGATTCCACTCTCCCTCTCGAAATGCTCCCACATGACATCGCGTATACAGCCACTGCCAGGTAAGTCCTATTCACTGCCTTCTCGCGGAGGGGGTATTGTTTACAAAATTGAGATGTGTCAAAGCGAATATCCAGCGCGCCAACCGGGTTGGTGGACACGGAGGTCCACCTAGGGGAGTTGGAAAACCCTGATTTCAAACCGATGGTGCACATGGGCTCTAGAATCCTTAGGGAACAAATGGCGTATGAACCTATTGTTGATCACTGGCTACCATGGATGGGACTGCACCTCCTAGCGTTGTTCCTTTGCCTTGTGGATTAGACCTTTAGGTCAAAGGGTCGGAGTGTGGTTCCCTAAGGAAACCACCTGCTTCGGTTTAAGCACCCGGCAGTTTCACAGCCTTCACACATCGAGTGAGATCCGTGTGGCACATATGTGTTTGGTGCCTCCTTGTACCAATATCTATATGTTAAAATAATAAATAAATAATGTATAGTCTGGCTTCAAAAGGTCGGATCTACAACGCGTCGGTGAGAGCACTCATGCTCCATGCTTGTGAAACCTGGCCTCTCTGAATTGAGGATGTCAGACGAATATCTGTGTTTGATCATTGTTGTCTTCGAATGATCGCTGACATCCAGTGGCAACAACATGTTAGGAGTGCAGAGGTCCGGCGTCATGTGTTCGGGCACGACGATGGTGCAACACAGTGGCTTAAGACGTTATCAGGTGTGACTCAGAATATAATCCAGTGACGATCCTGCTGTAACTTATTTCTTCATAAAAAATCAACGTATCTTCTTTATTTGAAAGGATTCTTCCTGGTTATTTTTGCTAATTAAACTCTTTCTCTCATTATTATTATTATTATTATTATTATTATTATTATTATTATTATTATTATTATTATTATTATTATTATTAATAGTTTCACTCATACATTAATTTCTGTTCGTCGTTTTTTTTTAATTATACGCACTTTCTCTGTATCTTAACCTTATTGTTATTGTGTGGCGCATATGTATTTGGTGTTTCGCTTGTACCAATGTTTGTGTTCAAATAAAACAAATAAATAAAGTGATTGAATAGTGCACAAATAAAATTCTACGTTTAACTGTGGAATGAAATATAGGCCACTTTGGGCAATCAGTCAACAACTAATGTCTCCAAGGGTGTAACATTTAAGTTTTAACACATTTTTATAAAAAAACTGTTTCAAAGTTGAACATTCGACCATTAAAATTTTGGTAAAACGTTTGTCCTTTTTGCGAGTTTCTTCAGAGCTTGTTTAACAACACTGTCTTTTAATAATGAAAGCATACAATTACATTCTTCCTCTTTAGTGTCTCAAATCATACTAGTTCAATAACTTGGCGTTTAAGAATCTAGTCTGATATTTAACTGAAAAAAAACTGTCAATGACTTTTGATTTGTGTTTCCTAATAATCATATACCCAATAGACCGTTGGCCGTATTTTGTTAAATAATTTTTTATTTTATTTTCCTGAGAGTAATAAATTGTCACGCATTGTCTTATGATATTTAGCCGGCGATTTTTTAGTAAATGGACTCACCTCATATAAATCCAGTAGATTACATGCATTCACTATCGCTATGGCGTAAAGGTCAACATGCATCATCGATGCGTTTAGCTGTAACTAAATCTGTACGATTAATTTCCTATGTGTTAACATCTTTGTGAATTAGTTAGGTAAGGATATATTTTTCATACTCATTCTGTGACTTTAATATGCTTTCTGTTCACAAGTTACAGCTATGAGCCTACAGCCTTTTTATTCCATTATGGAAAACCGATTTTATTTTCCAGTTAATCGATGAAACGGTATTTAAAAAAAGCTCGAGTTCTGTGCATCTTTTTCTTTCTCGTTATTCTATTTGGAGTATGTTGGGTGGTAAATAACGGTAATCAATCTATTGTACAATATCGGGTACGTTTTATTTGTGTTGTATTAAGTATGTTTTGAAACTTGAGGATTGTGTTGAATTTATCATATTATTGACGGACTAAAATAACTGTGTATACTAGCTCTATAATATTTTCATGGAGAACTGTGGCTCAACGGTTGTTTTTTAAATGATATGACCCCTTTCTATTTCATCTTTGTCACGAACAGTCATGTATTATTTCTAGTCCTAGAAATTATTATAGTTCAATTCTTATTACATAAACCTATACTTAGTTACTGAAGTGGCCAATCAAGAAAGTACACCAACTTTGAAACATTTAAGACACTCGATTTAATGAAAACATGGCTCGTGATACCTAGGATAAAATCAAAATCGTTGGAAGGTAAAGAATTATCGTCATTTGTACAGTATACTTAGGGGTCACTAAATACATCTCGAAAAGGAGAGTGTGGTGTTACCCTAGTCTTATTATAGAGATTCATACAGTAGCTCTTAACTCACAAGGAACTCTACTTTGGGATCAGGACTTAACAGCGCAACGTTTGATCGCGGAAACTGAAGCCACGAGAAAAGCGAGTAATTCTAGTTAGAATGTAATCCTAAGAAAAATTTAGCTATAACTCAGAAAGCTGAATTTTCAGGACTCATAAACTCCAATAAAAGAAACTGTTTTACCCTCTAGTGTATATTGGTTCCTCGTCATGGAGTTTACTGTTTTATATATGAGCATTCACTTTCAGTTTCATAAACTAAACACTCAGAATAAAATGCTTACAATCTGTAATTATAGTAAAAATACCAATCGAAACTTCGCTATAGTTTATTATGGAAACCAAAGTATTTAGATCACAGAATCACTCCAACTCAACATAGGAAACTATGCCAAAAACATTACTAAACCTGTGTAGCGTATTATATATATAATTATATATATCACTCCGAAATTTCTTAAGGTTGAACCAAATTTATGGCATGTCATCACACAATTCGATGTAAAGTACTGTAAATATGGAGAACAGATTTTGAAGTTAGTTGAGATGATTATAGGAAAAGGTGATCGTAAAACAACAGAAAATTAGATTGCCAATCGGTTTCAAGAATCTAAGACTAGAAACTGTCATTTTGATAACATGCTTTTTCGTAGTGGTGTATGTGTAATCGCTATTTTTATATTAATTTAAACATTACTTAAATACGTAATCTTCTTAAGAGACGTTGGTCTTCATTAAATCAAAATTTCTATTCAACGTTTTAGAACAAAATAATTTAGGCGAAGAAATATTTTTAGATTTCAATTAAATAAACATGAACCTTTAAACAGTTATGCTCACGTTTACTAATTTTGAGCATTAAATTTAAATCACTGACTTCACAAGAGCTCACATTTATCTGCCTATATTAGCTTTTCTGAATTTGTTGGGAATAAAACTTCTAGAAAATCTAATTGGAGGTCCTTCACCTCTCTGTGTACATTTTTGTGCTTATATTATCACTAACTGTCAAATCTTCGCGTTATTAAATAGGATTTAATAAGTGAATGAGAGCTGCAATTGTTAAAATAAACGAATAGACATCTGATCAAAACACGATGTGAAAAAGTGTGACGTGGTTAGATGATGACTGCTCACAAGACCGAATTGTCTCCCCCCTCGAATGATTTGTGATCATAGACAAGACCACCCGACCGTTGTTGCTACCTTGACGTGGTGGTCGGGCTTGCCTATCGTGATGAAGCAACCGAGCTATACTGACTGGAACAACCGTTCCTCAAGGTCCTACCATGTCAGACAGGTCGGTTGAAGAGCGGTAAGACTAAAAGCAACAAACCCAAGGTCCGAAGGCGAAGTCGTACTGCTGACTGTACAGAGGTGTGACAGCAGTAAGGTGTTTCCTTCAGACAACCAGCATGACAGCGATGCTGCCTTCCCACAAGGAGGGGTGGGGTTAGAAAAGGTCGACCCTAAAAATGCACACCTCACCTTACCTCACGGATTTCCGTCTCCGGCGGTAAGGCCCTTTGAAGAACGAAGCTAACACGTCGAAAACCTTCCACGAAAAGGCCGTGCGCGACCGGCCTCAAGCAGCTGTCCCTTGGGCACTGCGGTCACGCTCTCAGGTCACTAAGACCACCTCTAATCCGATTTCCTTTTCAGGTACCTCCAGAAGAACCCTTCCACGGTGTGGGCAACCGGGAAGTGATAGCCGCCCTCATACCTCTAACAGCACCCAAGACCACTGTATAGACAAGACCAGTAGCCAGAAGAATAAGTTATTGTAGTAAGCTAACGTGGTTACATACAAAATGCCTCCAAATGCCCTGGTACGGTCGAGGGTGGGGAGATTCCACTCTCCCTCTCGAAATGCTCCCACATGACCTCGCGTATACAGCCACTGCCAGGTAAGTCCTATTCACTGCCTTCTCGCGGAGGGGGTATTGTTTACAAAATTGAGATGTGTCAAAGCGAATATCCAGCGCGCCAACCGGGTTGGTGGACACGGAGGTCCACCTAGGGGAGTTGGAAAACCCTGATTTCAAACCGATGGTGCACATGGGCTCTAGAATCCTTAGGGAACAAATGGCGTATGAACCTATTGTTGATCACTGGCTACCATGGATGGGACTGCACCTCCTAGCGTTGTTCCTTTGCCTTGTGGATCAGACCTTTAGGTCAAAGGGTCGGAGTGTGGTTCCCTAAGAAAACTACCTATTTTGGTTCGGGTGCTACGGTAGTATTCCAACGCTCACACAAAGCAATGATGACTGCTACTGGTCTTATTGTTATTGTGTGGCGCATATGTATTTGGTGCCCCCTTGTATCAATGTTTATGTGTTTAAATAAATAAATACAAAATACTCACACATATGATATAATGATATGTCACAAACCATTGTTTATTTATAAATATTGGTACAATAGTGTGCCAAATATATATGCACCACACAAAACAATGAGAATTTAAGGGGAAGGAAAAGAAAAAAAGAGAGAATAACAACGAAGAGATTGATGTAAGGTGGTGTAATAATTATTATGGTAGAAATGGGGGAACGGAAAGGTACAATCAGAAGAAATCTTTCAGTTAAGGAATACACAACCACTTTTTTTTATGAAGAAAGTAAAGGAAGGTTACAGCAGGATCTCCACCGGCTTCTATTCTGAGCCATATCTGATAACGTCTCTAGCCACTGTGTTGCACCATCTCTCGGACCCCAGCTAGGGAGTCGTGAAGGACCAACACAAGCCAGTCCTTTGCAGCTTTCTTTCATCTCACGACACCATGTCATATAATGACCACCTCTCCGCTTTTTTCAACTAGTCCCAGAGTCGCCAAATAATGCACGACGTGGAATTCTCTGGGACCACTCGTAGAACATGTCCAAGCCACCGAACTCGGTGTTTCAAGATGGTGACACCGATTGCATTATCGTCTCTGTGCCCGAACACACGATGCCGAACCTCTGCATTACTACTGGCATGGTGTTGCTACTGGATGTCAGCAATCCTTCGGAGACAACGATGAGCGAACACAGAGAGTCGTCTAACGTCCTCAACTCGGAGAGACCAGGTTTCACAAGCATAGAGCAAGACTGCTCTCACCGACGCGTTGTAAATCCGACCTTTTACAGCCAGACTAACATCACGAAGGCGCCAAAGATGGCCCAGATTGGCATAAGCCGCTCTGGCTTTCACTATACGTGCATTGATCTCATCACTCACACCCCCATCAGCACTTATGCATCTATCCAGATATACGAACTTCTCGGCTACTTCTATCTGCTTACCATCCAGAGTGAGTACAGGATTAGAATCCTGCCAGTCTTGTAGAAGTACTTTGCACTTCGAAGGTGCAAAGCACATACCATACCTACGGACACTGATTGCCAACTGATTAAGTGCGGATTGCATGGCTTGGGCATTATCGCACAGTAAGACAATATCATCCGCATACTCAAGGTCGAGAAGTCTTTCTCCAGGCAACAGATCAACACCGCCATTACTTACATCCATCAGAGCTGTTTCCAGAATATCATCGGTGGCAAAGTTGAAGTGGAATGGTGAGATTGGGCAACCCTGCCTAACCCCACTGCTTGAATGGAACAATGGAGAAAGGTGGTTGTATGTCATCACTCTGCCTGAGGTGTTTGTATATAGGGCCTTTAAAATGTTAATAAACTTCTCAGGCACACCCTTCTTCAATAGACAATCCCAGAGAACAGTCCTGTCCAACGAATCAAAGGCAGCCCTGATGTCAAGAAATACTAAGATTGTTGGCCTTTGATAAGTATGACGGTGTTCTAACATTTGGCGGAGGGTGAAGGTATGATCAATACATCCTCGACCAGAACGAAAACCAGCCTGCTCCTCGCAAATCAATATTTCTCGGGTTTTGAACAACCTACGAAGTATGACGGAAGCCAATAGGTTGGACGCAATCGGAAGTAGACTTATCCCCCGATAGTTGTTACAGGACTGACGTCAACCTGTTATGAATGTTGAGGAATAATGTGCCAATCATTATCATGTTAAGTCTAATGATGTCCTTGGACGTTAAATGAACATTTCCTATTGGCCATTATTTATTTCACTCGTTAAATATTGTACAGATGTTGTTTTCTATTTTCATGGTACGATGTGGTCTGTTTGGTTAGTATATAAATAGAGTATGTCTGAAATATAATGATTCATAACTCATAGGCTGCGACTTGCGTTCTAGACTCAACTGGTTGGGCTAGACAGGGAAGCGGGACCAATTGGGGCTCTAGGTCGTTCACTACGTGTTTTCCGTGTCACTGAATCGATCGATATAAACGCTGCTTATCATAACCTGCAGTCACCCGTTACAACAGAACCGTTTTTAAAGATAGGGACAACTATCGACTCATTCCATGACGTTGGTACACTCTCTAGTTCCCAGACCTTTGTAAACAGCGTCGTCAGTCCCTTAGTCAGAAAGTCACCACCATCTTTAAAAAGAGCCGGAGGTAAGTCATTTGGACCAGGTGATTTGTAGCGCCTCAAGAATTGGAGTTCCTTGCAGACTTCCGCCTCATTTGGTGGATCAGTCGTCACCGGCCATGGAGGGCAGGACAGTCTGACTGATGTTGCCGGAGCAGCAGGCCAGTTGAACTGCCCTTCGAAGAATTCTGTCCATCGTCCAAGACGTCGATGGATGTTAGTGATTGGCATCCCATCATCCTCGCAGATTGTTTCACTCACACCAGACTTCTTGCTGCCAGTGGCTCGGATGAGTTGGAAGAGCTTCCGGTAATTACCAGATACAGCTGCTGCTTCCAACTCATTGGCACGCTTCGACCACCAGGCTTCTCGGTCCTTACGCAAGCTTTGCCCAATTTCCTTATGTAACATCCTTCGTTTATGGTCAAACTCACGGTCACCTGAAGTAGACCGATGGGCTTCAATGAGTTGTAAGGAACCTGAAGAAACCCAGTGCTTGTAAGCGGGACGTTTCGCGAACCCACAACTGACTGTATCCGCCATTTTCATGGCGTCATGCAATTGCAACCAATGCTCATCTATACTTTTCGGTGGAATGGTAGCTAGCCGAGAAGCTAGCTCGGTTCGATATTTACTGGCAACAGAAGTTGCAACCAGCTTGCTAACATCAATCCGTTGATGGCGGTCACTTCGTTGTCCACTGGAAAGCAAGGTAAGATTGGCGCAGATCAAGGCATGATCAGTGTCCAGATAGGTACTCCAAAAGGAGCGGCAGTCTTGTACACAACCACGCCAGCGGTAGCTGATCGCGATGTGATCAATCTGAGTCCAGGCTGGGGATGCAGAGGGAGGACGCCATGTGGCACATCGGCGATGACTGTGCCGAAAGTTAGTGCTAGCCAGAAACATGTTGTGGTCTGTGCACAGTTTCAGTAGACGGTCCCTGTTATCTGACCTGCGACCTACAAGTCCCCATCGGCCACCTAAACGACTCTCTTCTGTGCCTAGACGCCCGACCTGAGCATTCAAATCTCCGGTTTGTACTACAATACCTGTCGAACGCACTTTCTGGAGAAGAACAGATAGCTGGTGGTAGAATTCATCCTTGATTGCATCCGGGCTGCAATCTGTCAGGTCATAGGCGGAGATGACGAAAAGACATCGTTTCTCACGCCGATTTCTTCTCACTTTGATGGAACTTTCTAATCTAACAGCACATAACCGACTGTTAATGAGGATACAATCGATTAGTGATGCCTCAGCTCTAGTACTTAGTGCTACACGAACGCCAGCGAGACCAGACGAAGGTGCCACAGGGTCCCTGGATAAGCGCACGTAAAACAAGCTTTTTGAAGCGACAGATGGAGAGCGAATTTGTAGTACTTCGCCAGAGTCTCGAATACGGGTCTCGGATAGACAGCAGACATCGATATTAAAACTTTCCAAAGACATAGCCAGCCCTATCTGTTGACCAACCTGCATAAGTGTGCGAACGTTGAAGGCAGCCAGTTTGAATGGCGCACGTGGTTTCAGAAAAACTGCTTCAGTACTCAAATTCGGTGGTAACACACAATTTCCAACCGGACAGTGACTCGAAAATGTTTAGATAGAGTCGAATTTCCACCAAAGACGAGCTGCTGTATAAGTCGAAAAAATAAGTATAGACAGAGTAGGAATAAAAGAGGGTGAATAATGTAGTAGTAAATAATAATAATAATAATAATAATAATAATAATAATAATAATAATAATAATAATAATAATAATAATAAAGGATAATAGTAATAACAATAATAATAGTAATGACAATAATTTGAATCATTTGTTTGTTATTCGAAGCAAGAAAAGTAGTTCCCATAGATATAGAGAGTTCATCATTTACGTGTGGGCTGTGATACTGCCCGGGTGCCCAGATCGAAGCAGGTGGTTTACTTGGGGGTCCACACCCCGAGCCTTTGACCTAAAGGTCTAACCCACAAGGCAGTGGAGCATCGTAAGGAGATGCAGTCCCATGTTAGCCGGTGACCGAAAATGGGTTCATACGTCATTTGTTTCCTCAGGATACTGGAGCCCATGTGCACCATTGGTTTGGGATCTGGTTAGAGCGCCGGACATTCGCTTCTCGTCCTCTCATTTTCGTAAACAACACCCCCGCCACGAGAAGGCAATGAGTAGGACTTCCCTGGCAGAGGCTGTATATGCGTGGCCATGTGAGAGTATTTCGAGAGGGAGGGCAGACCAACCCCGCTCTCGGTCATACCAGGGCATTTGGGGACACAAACCATTGCCAAAAATCAATTTTCGGTGTAGATCTGTGAAATGTTTTGAGTTTCAATGACTAGTGAAGTTCAACAGTGTTGCGTGTGGGGCAGTTACCTACCGAAGACAACGGTAGGTCACGTAATATCGTGGATTAATTGAAGTGAGACATTAAAATTGTTGAATGCCAGCCCAATGATCTAGATGTTAAGCTTTTGCCCCCGGAACCGAAGGTTCTGTGTTCGATGCCTTTTGGTACGGGGTCATGGATGTACACTGCTGAGAAGTCCCATCCTGAGAGGAAATGGCCGTCCAGTGTTTTCAGGTTTTCAATGGTGGCTTAACTTGGATTGGTTCTTGATTTCAGTAAAAATCAATTTTATAGCTCTCTTATTCTTCAGTAAACAAGGGTTTAGATTCTAGGTCTTATTCTAGCACGCTATATCCATTCACCATTAATATTTTACTTGTACTTGCTAGATGTCATTTTTACTAAATTTATATTGCGCGTCTGTGGCATAAAACTGACTTCTTATGTTATGGACCCCCAAAATCAGTTAATAATTAATAATGGCTCAGCTAATAGAAGACCAGTTTATCACATATAGGAGACAAAAAAGTTTAGTTGGTTGGATTTCATCCTAATCGACTATTATTTATGTAGAAGTATATCTGATAGTCAAATTAGTTTTAGAGAATAAATATGCCAAAAAGTTACATCTGTGACCGCGTACTCAAGAAGAGGGAAACGGAAGACAGATTTCTGTAGACATCTCTAATGTTCTTGCTGAAAATGTATTGTTCATTGATGTATACTATCCTACTTACTGTTTAATCTTGCTTGAAGTTGTGGGCGAGCTTTTAAACAGTGTTCTTTTGATTTTAGAATATAATTCTCACCATATGTTTATCAATAGAAAGTAACAACATACAAAAATTTACGTATATTTTTGATTGATTATATTATTAAAAAGATTGACATATGTTTTGATATTTTATAGGCTGATATTATTAACCTCTCCCGAAAGTATGTCAAAGCTTTGGCCGAAACTCAGAATGTGGGTTTTGATGATCCTTACAGCGCAGAGTTAACGGGATATGGTATGTACTTTACTGTCAAGTCAGTAAATTGTTCTTTTATTAATTTAATCGTTAATCCAATAAATTCATGTTCGTAATACATTTAATAGGTTTTCATATTAGAATCATCATTATTTGACATATATCATCACCAAATCATGATAATATCTGATGTGTATGTAATAGTATTCCGTGGATTTAAGTTTCCCATATATAAAAACTTCCTTGTAAAATTTTCAGATACTATTCACACTATCATTCTTTCTTCCACCTGTTAAGAGATGATAAACCTTGTATGTTATAGAAAATTTGCGTCATCAATACGGTAGAGAAATCGATAACTCTCTTCTAGTATTCCTTTCAAAGTGAAAGAGTATTACCAAACCGCTGCCATCAGTCAGAACACTTTGAATCTACTGTACGTTCAGTGTAAATTCGTTATCTGAATACTAGGTATTTTATTTTTCTCAATAATTTTAGGAGCTGTGTATCGGATTCTTTCCAAAGGGAAACAGTTACTTAGAATTAACATTACAGATCATGAAAGAAGACAAGTGAAAAGAATTTACTTAATGTGCTTGTTTTTCCTCAATTTTATGATAGACTCAAATTTAGTCAAATGAAAGTTCCTCTGCAACATTCTACATCTCTTGTACGTCATTTAGTTTTCAGTAGAAAGTATAACCACTCTTTCTAATCAAATGAAATCCAATTTGACCTAGAAAAGGTCAGTAATAACTGTAAGACTTGCTTATAATTTTCCAAATTATCACGAATCACTTTCACTGGTTGACGGTTAGTTAACTTTCTCACTGTTAAAACAAAATACATTTTTAATGCTTAATTTATGGAGATCCATGAAATTAATAATTAAGATTTGATTGGTTGTTTTAAAATTGATCCTAGTGTGTAGTTACACTAGTCTTCAAATATTAGGTTGTGGTTCTACAAACAGTACACGAGTTTCTATTCAGCTATAAAGCAATGGAAAATATTTATAGCTGAGAGATCACGACAATTCCGAATATAAGGTTGTATCAATGAAATAGTTGAATTCTAAAGGACAGTTACTTTGTATTCCTTTCTATTTCAGTGGTTGTACGTTGACGTTTACTTCAAATGTAAAGATATTTTGTACCTTTTTTAAATTGACTAAATTTAATAAGTGATTAGTTTCATTTAATCTTTGGGCCACTTATATTTTCCTCCCTGTTTTCAGACTTAAAGAAAACATTGGCCGTTATTCTAGACGACGTGCTACGTCGTATTGACCAGATAGAATCAAAACTCTCTAATTTAACGAACTCATCTCCTGAAGTAACTAGACATTATTCCGAATCTATAAACTCGGCACCATTTGTACCTCATACTGCTCGAGGTTTGAAAATGAATAATAATGAGAAATCAAACTACAAAAATATTAACTATTTGGGTAAGCTCTCTTGATTACTTTATGAGTTTGTTTTTACTTTGTATGATACCTAAACCTATATTACAATTTGTGATATGTCTACTAAATAAACATATTTCCTGTTACTCCTCACGGAGGAACATAGGCCGCCCACTAACACTCCATCCAACACTGTCCTGGACAGTCCCTTCCATTTCATACTCATCCTTTTCATGTCTGCTTCCAATTCTCGACTCATTATGTTCTTTAATCTTCCTCTTTTCCACTTCCCTTCAGGACTCCAAGTTAGGGCTTGCCTCGTGATGCAGTTTGATGATTTCCGAAATGTATATCCTATCTACCTGCAGCATATTTTCCTAATTTCCCCCTTAGCTAGAAGTTGGTTTGTTCCCTTCTACGTCAGGCTGTTGCTGATAGTATCCGGCTAACGGACATTGAGTATCTTGTATAGACAACTGTTTAGAAATACTTGTACTTTTTTGGTGATAGCTGTAGTAGTTCTCCACGTTTCAGGTCCGTACAGTAGAACTGTTTTGATATTCATATTGAAGATTCTGACACTGATATTGGTTGGCAGTTGTTTTAAGTCCCATTTTTTCTTCAACTGTAGGAACGCTGCTCTAAACATACTTCCCGGTGGGAACATAAACCATTCTGAACAATGAATGAGCGATAACTAATTTTTTACCCATATTTTTAAAAAGAAAATAAATCACTGATGCATAAATTTCTACTCTAATTAAAGAACCTGAGACATGCTAGGCTGAAATAGACAGATTAAAAAAGTTTAAGTACACCAGTGTAGGATATAACAGTTCATAATATCAATGGCTACTTGCCCCGTGCCATATAGGGAAGTGCGAACCTCCAAGTCGATATCCATGAAATGATCGCTATTACTCAGTGGTTTATTTGTCTTAAAGGAGTTCAGTAAGAGTTTAATGTAACTGATTTTTTTTTCGGTCTTTATAAAAAATGTATAGTCTGTAGTTTTCCAAAGTTTATTTTGAGTTATGTTTGTTTACTCATTGCTTTGATTTTTCAGATCTTCTACAAGATGCACAAGAAAACTGTGTTGTTCAAGCTAGAGAACTACCACTATACCCGGAATGTTTTTCAAAGATTGAAGTAAGTTTTGTAAATATGTTTCATTTTAATGAAATAATTCAAGTTGTTTATAGTTTTACAATTTGAAGTAATAAAACATGGTAGTAAGTAAAATTTTATATTATCAGTCATCCGGCTCGTTATAACAAAACAAATACTGCAGAAGTTTGAACTTGTTTTTTTGGATTATTACTAATTATAATTTTGTTGTAACTAGATTACTATGTGTATATATATTCCACTTACCGGTCACTGATTTTTCGACTCATGGATAGGGCATAAATAGAGACTTGTCAATAATGGACTAATAGGAACTTAGCTATTGACCCGAGTTTAATGGTGCTGAGTGGGTATTCAATTGGACAAGTCAGAGATACTAGGCGCGAAATAGACCGAACTAGAATCAGGATTCTATTTAGTGACTTGTCACGTGATATTCATCGGGGGGTCCTCAAGACATAACACGCCTGCCTAAGGTAAAGCGGGGTTGGGACGGGTAAGTTTAACCTCGAGCTCAGTAGTTATAAACGTGACATCAAGGCCAGCAACAGAATTATTTTAAAGAAGACTTGCTTAGGAGTTTGAAGGTTAAGGATGTTTATGCTTGTCTACTGCTAAGATTGGATTCTTCAGATTGTTATTCTTTGATAAGTGGTATTACTGTATTCCCTTAAAGATTGAGTTTCACAAACATAAATACTTTTCATATAATAATTTTTTTTCATATCTCTAATAAACTAAAGATAAATTTGGAAAAAAAACAGTGATTGTTTTCTTGTTTGCTTTTGTGTTGTTAAGTATTTAATTGGTAATGGTTAATAATGTAGCTTATCTCATATCTTCCATTCTCAAAATGCTTCTTTTGGTTCATTAATTTACATTTGTTATGTCCTATGGTCCACCAAATATCATGTAACAAGATCGTCAGTCAGAACACCGACTAATATGACCTTGTCTTTGTGCTAAATCAATAATGCGTTAATTAGCACGAGCTGCCTTGAGTCAACTCGGAGTCCTTATTAGTCCTCTGTATAGTAGCTTCTCGCCTAATCCAGCCCATCCAGTCCGGAACGCAAATATCAACCTCCGCTATATGAATCTTATATTTCAGACATACTTGGTTTATATACAAGCAGTTTATACCTCATCGCACGATAAAATGAAAGATATTTATTATACAAGATCAGGTCAAAAGTGACTTTGTGTGTGGGCTACTGTAACTGATAAATTGGGAATAAGTTAAGAATAATAAATCGTATAACCGTGACCAATAAGTCAAATGGAAGCTTATGATAAGAGGTATATATATAATCTAGGTACTTAATAATTACCCAATCAGAATATATGTAATAGTAGTCCATAAATAATTTCTAGAAGTTGTAATTCTTTTATTCTTCGTTCGGATATAACAACATTTCACTACAAATCTTCATTAAATCTACGTTTTAGTGTGTTGATATTTTAACATTTCAGTTGAAAGATGATGGGAAACTTTTGCTTTGTAATAAAGTTTGTTTTCACACTAGGCTTTATGTTCGTTTTGGTGAATTTCGTTATGTTCGATAGATAAAACAGTTGTACGAATCTATAGAATGATTTATTGGGCATTATATCCCATTAGTTTGTACACTGAACTTCAACAAATAAATTGAGTCTTGAACAACTCTTTTGATTTTATCTTTTAATAACGTTGACGTCTCAGTCTTTTTATTAAAAAGAAAAACTTGGCCCGAAAAGCTAATTTATTCTCTGGTTTCATAAACAAATGTGACAGCTTTTTAAGAATATCAAGTATCGATAAATCTATTACAATCATGAAAAGAATTCAATAACGTGGTTGGACCTTTTTACTGGTAATTGTGTTGCTTCATCAAATTCGGTTCTCTTCAGAAAATTAAACATACTATACCATCTCACGATAAATCGTTGCACAATAACAATTACAAAGGCTTCAATTCAATGTCGAATGCTAAAGTAGTTCAGAAATTCAAGCTGGACTCTAGCGAATAAAATGCTAAGTGTACCTTTCGTGAAAAATATATGACATACGCTATTCTAAAACCCCTATAACATTGTAGATATTCTATCTTAGTACATGTGACTATTTACCATAGAATGCTTATTAGTGACAACTATATCCTTTTAATACTTGGGACGGTGTGTGTGTCGTCAATAATAATGTACATTAAAGTGAAATCACTTGTGATTATGCACTTTTCCATAAATTTTATGCTTTACGTTATTCACAACTCTATCACAGATATTCTGTCAAAATAATTTTAATACGACTCTCGTTTTGCATCAGCCCGATTATGTCTGTAAATTGGCGTACATTCTGTAGTCATTTTAAACATTTATTATTATTATAAAAGTTTCTACAACTGGTTAGTGTGTTCATCGTTTACATTTGATTCATTGCCTGTACGAAGTTTAGGAGTTTCACTGCTGCATCTAGTCCATTGTCTTGTGTAATCGACCTCTTATCAGTCAAAAACCAGTGTATTTTCTAACTAATAACAAGTCTGATTTTCTCATTGTTATGTTTTGCAGCCGTTCTAGCCTACTACTGATATAAGTTCAAACCAGCCACTTGAGCGAAGAGGAAGCTTTATTGACTAAATCTAGATCGACTCATTCATAAATGTATATCTTTTTCCCCTAGAAAATATAGCAACATTTTCAGAAATTGGTGGCCGTTGATTTGAAATAATCTCTAAGGTTATGTTTTGGTCTAATATATCACCTATCATACTATATGTCTCTCCATTCATTATTCGAATAAACGCCTCACAACTAGCATTCAACAGTTAGTCACGTTTTATTCACTTGGAACAGCAATTTGTGCTCTTATTGTTAACCTTGTAGTTGTATTTCTTTTTGATACAAGCAATCTAACGAATTCAACAAAACCTTCATGTTCACTCATATACACTAGTCAATCGTTGATTGTTTACCATTTTCATTTTATGTGGTTGTTTGTGCTAATCATATTTTACTGATCAAGTTACAATTTTGTCACCTGACTAAGTGGTGGCTCGGAGCGAGGATCTAATTGGTTGTTGATATTTGCAAACCAACCCCAGTTTGAGAGTTTTTTATTGGTTGTCTCTAACTCATCAAAGTTCAGTTACCCATTAATAAGATGATATTCTCCAAAAAAATAAATGATTAAATGGATACTATTTTCATTCTGCTTTGCTAGTGGTTGCGAACCCGTTGGGGAACTCATTCATGTTATATTGAGTTAGGAATCGATGGATCAGAATGTTCACTTATCCGGTATCTTAGTGAAGTAAGTGTTATATTGAATAATTTTGTCTCTGAATTTAAAGAGCATGGATTTATTTTTTACAAAATTTGTCTTAACGCCGTACTTCGCTTAATTCTTCCAAAAGTGAATTGAGACCAAACCATATGTTCACTCCAACAAAAAATCCGTAAAAGCGTTAGAGTTATCATCAAATTTACATGAGAATTTCCAAGCATCTTGATTTGTCTACTAGGGCTAATTAGTCGAAAATAGACTTACCGGTGTATTTAAATTTAGGGTTGATCAGAGCCTGTGATAGTTTGTCTCAACAATGTCTACAATCATCCGGACTATTTTCAACAGCCAACCAACTAAACAGTAATCATGTACTCATTAATAACTAACTTCATAATAAACTCTAGACATCCTAGTGGGAAATCATAATTGATAGAGTTGAACTATAGAGTGGGTATGTTGAAAGTATCACTGATGATATTGAATAATCATATTACCATATCAATAATTGATGGAAGTTAGAAATTTGGACTACTAGATTTTAACTCAACTGCTTAAAAGTAATGTGATCTCCGTGAGGTTAGGTGTGTTCGACACCTTTTAGAGTCAGGATTGGTGGACATGACGGATGGTTCCCAAGCCAGGACGGAACAATTACTAAGTGTTTGCCGATTTTCATCACTGAAAATCGGCAGTGATGCTTCATTCAATTTTATTTTGTGAAAAAATACTATCTGAAAATATCTGTGATAAAGTTTTGTTTCATGACGATGATAGTTCCTGATAAAGTTGTAAGTAATCAGTGATTGCCCTGAAAGCTTGAGCAACTGTTACTGTTGTCACTTTTATTTACACGATTCTGAGTTTTTCCAAAGAATACATTAACAATACTTTAATTGGTTATAATGTGTTATCGAAATCGCTCGGGTCGCAGCCGCTGCTTGATATAGTGTCCGGACTTGCCTGTTATAAAGACCTCTGGGTGAGTTATATTAGCTAGAACATTTATTCCTTTAGGTTCTACAATTCTAGGCAGGTCGGTTGGAATACAATATGACTCGAATTTGTACTTTGACTGTACTGGAGTGTTACAACAGTAAGGTGTTAACTTCAACCAATCAGCATCTTTAGTAATACTGCCTTCCTACGATGAAAGGAAGGGGTTGGTTAAGGTCTACTTTAAAAATAATGCATCTCACTTTGCCCCATGCATTTCTGTTACAGCTGATCGGTGTATCTAGTCTCTTTATGACAATTCACATCAAAGTTTGTCATAGTTTGTGAATCGGCTTTCCACCAGGAATATTTTTTAGTCTTGGACCGAATTACTTGTTGAAAACCTGTTGATATGGAAACAAGAATATACCAAGTTCGAACTGTTGATAATTATTTCAGCTTTTTTTCCATAAACAAAACATTCGGTAGCAATTAATAATTTATTCAATATTTGGGTTCTTAAATGCATCTAGTTTTGCACGTCTCTTTTAACTGTATAAATAATCTCTTATCTTTTTCATATTCTATTATCAGGTTTTTTCCCATATAACTTTGATCTTAGTGTTTAAAGCTATGTAATTTAATAATAAAACATATTGTACCTAATATTTGCATTAGACTTCTATATTTTATCTTTGTTTTACTTGAGTTAATTTATACATGGATCCTGTTGGGTATTTTTTAGTGAAGAATACTTGTATTTAATAGTCCCGTATATCTCATCTATCTTCTACTGTCGGTATATCTTAAAATGTCTGTAATTCATCACCTTCATTATTTATGAGTGTATATGGTGATGTTGTTGTCATTTTGGAAACTTAAAGTTTTTCATTCGATTTTACACTTTATTTCTGTTCTAATAGGATTGCACTAGTAAATGGTATCACATACACTTGATTATTGTGCTCTGGATAGCATGTTATTCTAAACACTAAAAATCCCCTGCATATGTTTGTGCCGGAAATTTATAAGAAAATAACTCCAAGATTAGTTTAGCACCACCTACTGAACATAAATCCTCTAAAAAATATGAGTTATGTGTCTGTTACTGTTGAGCTTTTGTGAAACGTAAAAATAATCTGGAATCACTTTTCGAGGTAAATGTCAGTCGACAAGCAAATAGATGTAAATTCAACATACAAATTGTTTGGAAGAGTATATATATATATATATATATATATATATATATATATATATATATATATATATATATATATATATTATCAGTATGTGGTTGTAGAGTTTGTTGTTTCATTGAAACCATAAACCGATCAATGTTAGATCACCATTGAAAAACCGGAAGCACTGGACGATCGTTTTGTCTCAGTATGTGACTCCACAGCAGTGCGCATCCACGGCCACCATTGAGGTTAGACACTAACATCGCTGGACGTCGGCTCAGTGGTCTAGAGTTCAGGTGTCTGCACGCGAAACCGAAGGTCCTGGGTTTGGTGTTTTTTGGTACGGGGTCGTGGATGCACACTTCTGAGGAGTCCCATACTGCGAGGAAATGGCTGTCCAGTGCTTCCAGGTTTTCAATGGTGATCTAACATATATATATATATATATATATATATATATATATATAACGCTTAGGATAAATCGAAAATATTTCGCTTAGGACTTTTTTTGCCAGTACCTGTCGTCTAAATAAGCCACGAATTAAGGTTTAACTGAATGAAATAATCAAGTTCCTGTAACTGTAAATTAAAGTCAGACGATTCAATAATAAATCTGAACTGTTCATTGTTTTATCTGCTTAATTTTAGCAATTATATTTCCGACTAAAAATGTGGTTATTTCATTTGTAAGTTGTTTGAGTCTTTCCGTTGTTGGTGTTAATTACTGTAACTGGTCAATTCCAAGTAAAACGAAGCACGTATCTTGGATTCTGTTGCTAGGTACTATCCAAGTTTGTTTCAAAATGGGATTGTCTTAAAATTTATTATCAAGACTTTTCGTATATCATTAACATAGACTATAGTGTTTCAGTTATAAAAACATATTTTTGCAGGAACTAATTTACTGGTATTCTATCCATTTGATATCTGTTTTTTAAAACGTTAAGAAGAATTCGAAAGCAGTTAGATTTCTTATTGTTTTTGAATTGAAATGTTTCATTTTCAATCATCACTTTTGAGCTTCTAAGGGTTTTTTCATCTAATCTCTTATACCCCGTTTCTTTTCGAAATAGATTGAAAGTTTCTGTCCACGATTGGATAGCAGAAAATTTCTGAAACGTCATAGTGAAGCTCAGGTATGAATAGTGTACACAGAGATGTATTATTATTTCTGTGACTATTGTTAATGAACCAATAAATCCATTGTTTTCACAGTTGGGTGTGTTTGTAGATACTTTTATTCAGTAAAATCATGTCATGTCTTCATAAAGCTGTATTGATGACATTAGCTCTTTCACCAACAGGAAATCAGGCTATGTTCTAAGCTACACGATTATATGGTATAATCCTAGTCTTTTATGTACTGTAAAACATTAATTATTCTCAGCTAATCGCTACTATTTAGAAATTCCGAGTCGTCATAGAGCATTTCTTTCATTACGACAAATATTTGTTCGTCTTACTACTGATATCATATCCACCATCTTCAATTTTTACAGGCAATGATAATTACACAAGTTTATGGTGTTATGGCTTTCTTTTTTTGCAAAAACCCTGTCGCCAATTTTTATGGCTTATGGCCTATCAATTCTTACGTGATAAGATCACCAATCAAAACACGACTTATACAATCCTAGTACTGTGCCAACCCAATGACATATCAGTCAGTCAGTCAGTCAGTAACAACGTAGAACTTCGTACGTACGTACATCAGTTCGAGTTGCCACACCACATTAGCACAGAGATGCACTTGTCGATTCAAATCCCGTAGTGGTAGAGGTAGCAAGAGTATAAGCAGTAATCGGGAAGATTAGGGTTTGGAGATGTTATTTAAAGAGTATAATCCAGTGAAAGAAATTTGGAAAGAGGAAAAAAGGGACATGAAGAATTCAGAAGATTAGAGTTTGGGAGAACACAGAGAGTGGATGCACCTGCGCCATTGCAAACGATTTTGAGCCATGTCATTCAGGGTCTCTAACCATCGGTTGCTGTCATCTCGCGGTCCCCAACCAGGTAGTCTACACCTACCAACATGACTCAGTTCACTTGTCAGTGACTTCATGGACTTGTGCCATGTTTTGGTTTGGCCGCCCCTAGCTTTCTTCCAACCTACTCCTATACCACTGAACATAGCACGTCGAGGCAGTCGGTGGTTGGGCATACGTAACACGTGTTCCAGCCATCTCAACTGATGAAGTTTCACTACGTCATCAATTGATTTGCCATCCTTACCTAGTACCCGTTTCCTAACAACTGTGTTACTTACTCGATGGTCCCATGATATACGAGCAATGTTTCGAAGACACCTATGATCAAATACTAGTAACCTACGGATATCCTCTACTCTTACCGGCCATGTTTCACTGCCATAAAGTAGGACGGAACGAACTGCTGCGCAGTAAACACGTCCTTTGGTTGATAGACGGATATCTCGCCTACGCCATAAATGACGCAAGTTGGCAAAAGCTAGTCGAGCCTTCTGTATCCGTGCTGAGATTTCGTCACACACCAGACCACAAGGGCTGATGAGACTTCCAAGATAAGTGAAGCGGTCGACACACTCAACTACTTCACTCCCTATCACTAGTTCGGGTGTCGATGTAACCCAATCCTGAAGCAACATTTTGCATTTCGAGGAAGAGAATCGCATCCCGAACATGCTTGCATTGTTGCTTAGAGTGGTCAGAAGACTCTGCATTTTGTCAGCGTCTTCACCAAATAAAACTATGTCATCTGCATATTCTAAGTCAACAAATGAACCTCCTGGTAGAAGTTCAACCCCTGTAAATTTAGATGAGGAGAGTGTTATCTCTAAAAGTACGTCAATGACAAAGTTGAACAAGAATGGGGAGAGTGGACAGCCCTGACGAACACCACTTGAGGTGATCAATTCTGATGACAGTTCGCCATAAGCTCTCACTCGACCAGTTGTGTTCGAGTAGAGAGCCTTTAAAAGGTTAATGTACTTCTTTGGTACTCCTTTCAGTGACAAACACTGCCATAGAACCTCACGATCAACGGAGTCGAATGCCGCCTTAAGGTCGAGAAATACTACCATTGTGGGGCGTCTGAATGTGTGTCTGTGTTCTAGAACCTGACGTAGTGTGAATATCTGATCGATACAACCACGTCCAGGTCGAAAACCGGCCTGGTTTTCTCTAATCTGCTCTTCACGAGCGTTAGTTAGGCGTCGAAGTATTATTGAGGCTAATATTTTAGACACTATATTAGTCAAACTGATTCCTCTGTGATTGTCACAAGAGGACTTTTATCCTTTCTTAAAAACTGGCACAATCAGTGATTGAGACCAGTCAGATGGGATTACGTCCAGTTCCCAAATTCTGCCTAAGACCTCGGTTAATCTCATTGCTAATACTGGACCACCATCCTTAAAAATCTCAGGAGTAAACCTGTCAGGGCCTGCTGCTCTCCCTCGTTTCAGATTTTCTATGGCTTTTTCAACTTCGTAAAGGGACGGAGGACTTACATTAACTTGCCATTCAGGTTGACTGGAGATCGTGGGAAACCGAAGTGTGGCTGAAGGCCAGTTGAACTGATCCCTAAAGTGTTCTGCCCATCGATCCAATCTCCTGGATTGAGAATGAATAATATGTCCATCTTTCTCTGAGATTGTTTCGCTAACGGTCGGGTTCCTGATTCCGGTTTCCTTAACGAGTCTAAACAATTGTCTGCTATTACCTATTGCCGCTGCCTTTTCCATCTCTCTTGCTTTCGCTACTCACCACTGTTCGCGATCATTGCGTAGACTTCTTGTCAGCTTGCGCTTAAGCTGACTCCGCTCTTCATTATGTTCAGAGCCAGGTGGAATGAGTTTTCGAGCATCTATCAGTGCGATAGATGCTGCTGAGATCCAGTGTTGCTCCCTAACTTTACGGTTTACCTTACTAGCAGATATCACTGCTGTTTCCACAGCTTTTCGGATATCGTTCCATGCTGCCTCGGGGTGGGCATCACATACATGGCTGCCTAACTGTTTTCCTAGTTGTTCCTGAAATATATTCTTAGCTTGACTATCATTAAGTAGGCCCTAAGAGGTTTCCTTGCAGGATCTTTCTTACGTCCAGTAAGACGCAAGCAAATACGCGCTCGCACTAGAGCATGATCTGAATCTAGGCATGTGCTCCAGAATGAGCGACAGTCTTCTATCGAGCCCCTCCATCGGTGGCTGATAGCGATGTGATCTAATTGGGTCCAACGTTGGGACGAATTAGGGGGTCGCCATGTTAAAAGATGTTTTTCCTTATGCTTTAAGTTAGTATTTGCAAGGAGCAGGCGGTTATCTGAGCATAGCTGCAACAGACGGTCGCCATTATCTGTTCTTTGAGCCACGACACCATAGGATCCACCTAGGTGTCTTTCCTTATCGCTTAGTTTACCTACTTGAGCATTAAAGTCACCGGCCACTATTACTACATCCGAGCGCTTAGCTTTTCGGAGAAGGTCCGAAAGCTTTCTGTAAAACTCATCTTTTACATCATCTGAGCTGCAGTCAGTGGGAGAATAGGCTGAGACGACGAAGAGGCAACGACGAGTGTCCCTATCTTTCCGGATTCTTACTGTTCCGTTCAGTCGGACAGCGCACAAACAGCTGTCTACTGGGATCCACTCTAAGAGAGCTAGTTCTGCCCTAGGACTCAATGCTATACCTACGCCGGCGAGGCCACGGGAAGCAGAATCAGGGCTTCCAGATACACGAAGCGTAAATCGAGTCGGTTCTTTATTTTGGCATGGTGAGGTCAAATGAATGACGCTACTTCGGTCCTGTATGCGCGTTTCGGAGACGCAGCACACATCGATGGCGCGGGATTCTAAAGTCCTAGCTAAGGAAGCCTGCTGTCCTATTTGGCAAAGTGTTCGTACGTTAAAAGCTCCTACGTGTAGTTTAGAGCGTGGTTTCAGGAGACCAGGAATGGCGTTCCACGTACTCGAATCGTTTGCCCTAGCGGTGCGAGGTGATAAAGAGACGTGAGGAGGGTTAGTCGGGAGGATAAGAGAGGTATTAGGAGGTGCAGGAAGGATTTGAATGTGACCACCTTGGTCTCTTGTGCTGTTACAGGTATGAGGGCTGATGTCACTTCCCGGCTGCCCACACCGTGGAAGGGTATTTCTTGATGAACCTGAAAAGGAAATTGGATTAGTGTTGGTCTTGACGACCTGGGAGCGTGACCGCAGTGCCCAAGGGACAACTGCTTGAGGCCGGTCGCGCACGGCCTTTTTGTGGGAGGTTTTAGACGTGTTAGCTCCGTTCTTCAAAGTGCCTTACCGCCGGAGACAGAAATCCGTGAGGTAAGGTGAGGTGTGCATTTTTAGGGTCGACCTTTTCTAACCCCATCCCTTCTTGTGGGAAGGCATCATCGCTGTCATGCTGGTTGTCCGAGGGAAACACCTTACTGCTGTCACACCTCTGTACAGTCAGCAGTACGACTTCGCCCTCAGACCTTGAGTTGCTGCTTTTAGTCTTACCGTTCGCCAATCGACCTGCCTGGCATGGTAGAACCTGCAGGAACATATGTCCCAGCCAATATAGCTCGATTGGGTCATCACGATAGGCAAGCCCGACCACCGCGTCAAGGTAGCAGCTTCGATCGGGCAATGACATATCGACCGGTATGATCAATCTAGAGTCCTTTTTGGTCCTTCTCGTCTAGTCCTGTCTGTTGATACCAGAACACCGATATCAGCTTCCACCATACAAATCATATATTTCAGATATATATAAACCAAGTGGTTTATACACAAGTGAATAAGACCACATCATACCATAAAATTGGAAAATAACAATTTTACAGGATCAAGTCAAGAAGTGGCCGTGATTGTAAAAGGCTGTAACCGATAAATTGGGAGTGACTTAAAATCTTCGAAAAATCCCCATTATATTAAGAATAGTAAGTCGTATAACAGTAACCAATAGGTCAAATAACAGCTTATGATAAAAGGAGTACAAATATATGCAAATTAGTTACTTAAATTATATATATGTTGTGAGGGAATGACTGCTGAGATAAACCGTTCGGCAATTCTATGTCCTTAATTGTTTATAACTTACGAACTGAGGCTTAATATATATTTGGTCATTGATAAAAAATTAAATATTATTATTAAGGTCAAGCTTTGTTCCTGAACACATATAAACACAACTTGTTCATTAGGCATGGTATGTGCATAAAGCATAAATTTATGCCAAATTGAAAGTTGTAACTGCCAGTTGTGCATTCATCGAATTATGTCATCTATACCTGCATTTGATGTGATATAGTTTTAAGTATTCAATTTTCATCTATATCTATGACATCTTATCAAGTTGATCTGGAAATATTGATAACACTTAGTGAGGATTCTTGAGTTGAGGTCATGAAGTTGTATTTTTTGTGAAGCTGGATGTTTATAGACATAAAGGTCTTGTGTCACACAGACTTATACATCTCGCTTAATGTGATACTTTGAATATGTTTGATGAGCTTTCTACTAAACAATCTTTTGTAAAACCTATTGTTAATTTCTGCCTTGAAATAAGTGTCTTGAATTGATGAAAACAAAGACGAAAACTTCATATATGGTTGATAATACTTCAAAATAGTTTGAACATTATTACTATTTTGCATAGTTTATTAATTTCAAATAAGCAGAAAAAGAATGATTGTTTATTTTGTAAAATTCCACACCAATCTTGATTGACTCGTATCGGTGAGACTAATTTATGGACGACCTTTGAGCGACGCTAAAGTGACTCTTAGAATGTTCACCTATTTATTAGTGCTAAATGAGGGTTATAAAACAATGTGAAGAAAAAGGATCATGATTTACAATTGATGGTTAGAGTTAGAAATAATGCCAAAACGTTATTTGGACAAATGGTAAATGAATTTTGCTCTAAAATCCGAGACCCGTTATCCTAAATTTGATTGGTTCGTCCATAAATTATAGTCTCGCCCTGTTGATTGTTTTTATAACGGCTATTTATTTTGTATATACTTTTTCTTAGATAACTCGAGATCTTAATGGTTTGCTTGGCATATTATCCTTAGCTAAAAATCATTTATTATCGAAATCGTTTATGACTACACGGCTAAAACGTATGTGGCCTGATTGGTTAGCAGGAATTCAACATTATATAAATGGAGTTAATTTTTCACAAGCTGATTATTCATCATTGGATCAGTGTAAATTTTGTTCGCCTGATGATATAGCTTGTGCAGATATTTGTCAGTCTACCAAACTAATAGGTCAGCCGTTTTTATTTGGAAGACCGAAGCTAAATGTGAGTGTGCTTTTTGTGCAGTTATTACAATACTTCTGCATATATATATATATATATATATATATATATATATATATATATAACTATTATAACTAAGGTACTGGCCTGTCCAGTCTAACTTTCTAAAAATGGATTGTTTTATTGAACGAGTTTCTCTTCTACTTATAATTGTGTCAAAGAAAGGAAGCTGGTTGTTCCTCTTTCCATATGAAAGACTGATTTGAGTTTAGTGTGTTAGGTTTATTCAATAAACAAGTTATATCCTCCTTTCTTTCATAGACAAATGTCCTGACCGTAGCTTCTACCTTAGCGTGGTGGTCGGGCTTGCCTATCGTGATGACCCAATCGAGCTATATTGGCTGGAACACATGTTTCTTTAGGTTCTACCTTGCCAGACAAGTCGATTGGTGAACGGTAAGACTAGAAGTAGCCACTCAAAGTCGGAGGGCGAAGTCATACTGCTGACTGTAGAGGGGTGTGACAGCAGTAATGTGTTCCCCTTTGACAACCATCATCTACAGTGATGCCGTGTTCTCACAAGGAAGGAAGGAGTTAGTAAAGGTCGACCCTAAAAATGCACACCTCACCTTACCTCACGGATTTCTGTCTCCGGCGGTAAGGCACTTTGAAGAACGGAGCTAACACGTTAAAACCTCCCACAAAAAGGCCGTGCGCGACCGGCCTCAAGCAGTTGTCCCTTGGGCACTGCGGTCACGCTCCCAGGTCGTCAAGACCAACACTAATCCAACTTCCTTTTCAGATTCCTCAAGAAATATCCTTTCACGATGTGGGCAGCCGGGAGGTGACATCAGCCCTCATACCTGTAACAGCACACGAGACCAAGTTGGTCACATTCAAATCCTTCCTAGACCTCCTAATAACTCTTATCTTCACGACTAATCCTTCTCACGTCCCTTTATTACCTCGCGTCGCTAATGCGAACGATTTGAGTACGCGGAACGCTATTCCTGGTCTCCTGAAACCACGCTTTAAACTACACATAGGAGCTTTTAACGTCCGAACACTGTGCCAAATAGGACAGCAGGCTTCCTTAGCTAGGACTTTAGAATCCCGCGCCATCGATGTGTGCTGCGTCTCCGAAACACGCCTACAGGATCCGAGTAGCGTCATTCATTTGACCTCACCATGTCAAAATAAAGAACCGACTCGATTCACACTTCGTGTATCTGGAAGCCCTGATTCTGCTTCCCGTGGCCTCGCCGGCGTAGGTATAGCATTGAGTCCTAGGGCAGAACTAGCTCTCTTAGAGTGGATCCCAATAGACAGCTGTTTGTGCGCTGTCCGACTGAACGGAACAATAAGGACTCGGGAAGATAGGGACACTCCTCATTGCCTTTTCGTCGTCTCAGCCTACCCTCCCACTGACTGCAGCTCAGATGATGTAAAATATGAGTGTCGTGGCTCAAATGACAGACAATGGCGACCGTCTGTTGCAGCTATGCTCAGATAACCGCCTGTTTCTAGCAAATACTAACTTCAAGCATAAGGAAAGACATTTTTTAACACGGCGACCCCCTAATTCATCCCAACGTTGAACCCAAATAGATCACATCGCTATCAGCCACCGATGGAGGGGCTCGATAGAAGACTGTCGCTCATTCTGGAGCACATGCCTAGATTCAGATCATGCTCTAGTACGAGCGCGTATCTGTCTGCGTCTTACTGGACGTAGGAAAGACGCTGCAAGTAAACCTTTTAGGGCCCTACTTAATGATAGTCAAGCTAAGAGTATATTTCAGGAACAACTAGAAAAAAGTTAGGCAGCCATGTAAGTGATGCCCATCCCGATGCAGCGTGGGGTGATATCACATAAGCTGTGGAAACAGCAGTGATATCTGCTAGTAGGGTGAACCATCCGGCTCTGAACATGACGAAGAGCGGAGTCAACTTAAGCGCAGGCTGATAAGAAGCCTACGCACCGATCGCGAACAGTGGTGGGTGGCGAAAGCAAGAGAGATGGAAAAGGCAGTGGCAATAGGCAATAGTAGACAACTGTTCAGACTTTTCAAGGAAACGGGTATTAGGAACCCAACTGGTAGCGAAACTATCTCGGAAAAAGATGGACACATTATTCATTCTTAATCCAGGAGATTGGGTCGATGGGCAGAACACTTTAGGGATCAGTTCAACTGGCCTTCAGCCACACTTTGGTTTCCCATGATCTCCAGTCGACCTGAATGGCAAGTTGATGTAAGTCTATTTAAACACAAACATTGGTACAAGGAGGCACCAAATATATTACCACACTTCCTCATTCGATTTGTGTAAGGACTGGAGTACTGCACTAGCACTCGAACGAGAAAAAGGTAGTTTTCTTAGGGAACCACACTCCGACCCTTTGACCTAAAGGTCTAATCCACAAGGCAAAGGAACAACGCTAGGAGGTGCAGTCCCATCCATGGTAGCCAGTGATCAACAATAGGTTCATACGCCATTTGTTCCCTAAGGATTCTAGAGCCCATGTGCACCATCGGTTTGAAATCAGGGTTTTCCAACTCCCCTAGGTGGACCTCCGTGTCCACCAACCCGGTTGGCGCGCTGGATATTCGCTTTGACACATCTCAATTTTGTAAACAATACCCCCTCCGCGAGAAGGCAGTGAATAGGACTTACCTGGCAGTGGCTGTATACGCGATGTCATGTGGGAGCATTTCGAGAGGGAGAGTGGAATCTCCCCACCCCCGACCGTACCAGGGCATTCGATAGCTAGTCATAGACAGAGTAGAGCCTGGTACATAAGTGCATCGACTCAAGGCATCACACCACCACACTGATGACATAGTAGTAAACGTGGTAACAGTATTAGTGGTAATAGGAAGTATTAGGCATAGAACATGTGAATTTAGAAAATACAGATTCGTGAAACAGAAAAACATTTTAAAATAATTTACAAACTTAAGATTTAAATGAGCTCAAGAAATGAGTGCACATGTTCCAATGGGAAAGTTTCCATGTTATTTCATCCAAGGTTTCTAATCAATGGTTAAGATGATCATGCGAACCTCAACTGGTGAGTCCGAACCTATCTATGCAGCTCAGTCCAACCTCCATCGACTTCATGGACTGATACCAAGTTTTGGTTTGGTCACCCCTACCTTACACCAACCTGCTCGTCACGAGTCAATCTTTCCTTATGTCAGACACTCTACATAGTATGACGGAATACAATAGTTTGGACGCGATCTGAATTAGACTTATCCCCTGATAATTGTTGCAGAAACGACATGAACGCGTTTTAAAGATAGGGACATCTATCGACTCAGTCCAATATTTTGGATCGCTTTCTAATTACCATACCTTTGTAAATAACTCGGTCAGTTCCTTAACCAGGAAGTCACCATCATCTTTAAAAAGGGCCGGAGGTAAGTCATCTGGGTTCGGTGATTTGTAGCGCTTCAAAATTCATAGTTCCGCGTGGACCTCCTTGTTAGGTGGATCAGTTGTCACAGGCCGTGGAGGGTAGTACAGTCCGGCTGATGTTGCCGGGGCAGCAGACCTGTTGAACTGCTCTTCGAAAAACTTTGCCTATCGTCCACGACGCTGATAGATTTTAGTGATTGGCATCCCTTCATTTTCACAGATCGTTTCACTCATACCAGACCTCTTACTGCCAGTAGCCAGTATAAGTTGAAAGGGCTTCTGGCAGTTGCAAGGTTCAGCTGCTGCTTCCACGCTCCGACCACTAGGCTTGTCGGTCCGTACGCTGGCTTTTCCAAGTTTCATTGCGCAACAGTCGTCGTTTGTGATCAAAATCACGGCCCCCCGGAGTGGATAGACAGGCTTCAATGAGTTGTTAAAAGCCTGAAGAAACCCAGTGCCTATCAGCGGGACGTTTCGCGTAGTCACAAGCGACTTCACTCACTATTTTCCTGGCGTAATGCAATTGGTGACCCGCCTTTAAAACACGCACCATTTCTCAGCAAACTTAAGCCCGCCGACTTCGAACCTAACGCAACAAGCTACGTCGATGAAGGGATTTCTGCACTTGATTCATTCGACGAACAAACTCAACCGGTCCAGCTCAATCTCTAATCCGACGCACTCAGCAAAGCCTGCGCTGCACGACATGGACTGGACATGCACAAATCTTATTATCTTATTGTTACTTTGTCCTCATGTTAACTACCCTCATTGATTCATTCGTCGGTTTGTTCCATTACGATTCAAATTATCATAATATGCTTAATATTACATTATTATCAATATCATGACCGAATGTGGAATTATTAATCTTGTTCGTGCTGTCACTAAATTGACATTTTCGCAATCATATCACTCACCGAACAAATGATCATTTTATGAAAATTTCACTCCACTTTGTGAGAACTCATTGGGATATTTTTACTATTCAAAAACGTGAAATTTTCCTGCTTTAAGTGAGTTCGTTCCAATTTTTCATGTCATTTTGATCTAATATTGCATTCATTCACTTAGTCGAGGTCAGCAATTTATGTTGTCGTAACATACATTTTTCATTTCGAAAGCGCCTACTATTATGTCTGTGGATGCTTGTAACCAGCTGACTAGAAACCACTACGTTCATCTTATCTCGTCCACATGTATAACCACATGCCGCATCATTAATTACCCAAAAAAAATTATTCGACTACTGCAACTACTATTCTATACCCATCGCACTGTATATCAGAACATAGAGTTTAGAGCTAGCCTCTCAAAGATACACTCTTGTTCGTCACATCCAAGTCAGTCACATACGTCGGCATCACTAATCATATGTATTGGTATTTTCGTCATGCCTTGGTACTGTTTTGTAACCAACGAGATCGAGCGCATCTCCCTCAAACCACACAAACCACTCTAGGCTTCATGACCAAAAAGGAATTCGACTCTACGTACCTCGTCTACTCAGTCACTATTCTGTTCCTCTGGTCATTCTACTAATACATATTTAATGATAACTCAATGCATCTGCCATAACGCAGACGACAACGTTCACTGACTTCAAATTTTATGATTATCAATTGCAGTACAGCAACGAATATCACCCGTCGATGCAGATATCATTTCACGACTTGCCTATTATCATCCTACGAACGAGAGTTACACATTTAAATTCGAATTCACTCATCGCTAGTCGATGCTATTTATTCTGCTGCGGCTCAATAGAACATATATTTAACGTATTTCACTATTTCGTCAGCATCTGTCGTCTACTCTACTTATCTTGACGATTTATTTCCCTGTCATACCCACAAACAATTTATTACTATTTTCACGATAATTTGAATCACTTATACAAACGTGTTATTTTATCGTTCAGACAGTCATAGAATCAGTAGATGTTAATTTTTGGTACGCTCATTAATTTGCTCATATTCGCACGCTAACGTTTCCATTTTTGTCCGCGTCTTTTCTATATTCATGTATTCTTTTGCATAAGTATGACATTTTCATATAATACACTCACCCCTCATGTGACACTGTACTTTATCGAGTGTTGTACAATTTTTTTGGCTACTTACTGTTAACGTTAACTACGCACCACTTCACTGTCATTTTCGAAAACAGACATTTTTTAAATGTGCTATTTTCTACAGGGGGGCTATGTAGTGTCAGTTATTATGCCAAGCCCATATACCTTATTCGAGCCTTCGGACATCCCATTCTATTCATTTTACTTGAGCCATACATTGACCTTGTTATTTATTCGCTTATCAATCTAGACTGTTTTTATATGAGCATATAGGTGTGTGCCCTTCTTATCCCATTAATCACATGTCTGTAGCTTATTTTATCTGACTATAAGTATTGAGTAACACTTGACTAAAATGGAGTTGGCTTCCCAGCCATCTTCCATACGTGTCATTTTGCTTTGCTGTTTCATTCGCTTCATGTACGAAATATATGTATTCTCAAGTCAATTCTCATTATTCGACTTATTTAATTCCGTTATTGGATAACGCGATCTAAGTCGACGATGATATACGAGAAAAGGCGATAACAAACATCCATACAATCATTCGTACGCTCTAAATAGAGTCAGATCAACGGGCCACTAAACAACCAATGCTCATCTATACTTTTCGGTAGGTTTGTATCTAGCCTTGAACCTAGCTCGGTTCGATATTTACTGGCAACAGGAGCTGCAACCAATTTACTGACATCGATCCGTTTGGGACGATGTATTTGTTGGCCACGGAAAAGTAAGGTAAGATTAGCGCAAACAACGGCATGATCAGAGTCGAGATAGGTACTCCAAAAGGAGCGGTGGTCTTGTAGCTGATCGCGATGTGATCAGTCTGAGTCCAGGCTTGAGATGCAGAGGGAGGACTCTAGGTGGCACATCGGCAATGGTTGTGCCGGTAGTTAGTGCTAGCCAGAAACATGTTGTGGTCTGTGCACAGTTTCAGTAGACGGTTACCGTTATCTGATCTGCGACCAACAAGTCCCCATAGGCCACCCAAACGACTTTCTCTCTGTATTTATTTAGCTCATGTTACGTGTGATTATCTATGTTTTGTGTTTTATTTATTTTCATATATGCAGGAGTAAATGAACGGATCCTACCTATAAATATATATTTATCTTTCAATTCACTTGATATCATTTGCGTTTATTTTAAATAGATTCTACTTCATATGGGATTTTTATCGAATGATTTTTATAAGAATTCTTTCGAATCATATATCTCTAAAGGTAACTACTTATATTTGTTATTATTTTTTAGGAAAAAATTATTTGTAATTTTGAAATCAATGAAGATGTGATCAATTGATTTGTTATTCAGTTATTGTATTTCGTACATGATTTCTACCTATCTTAACATCCACTTATCGAAGTTGATTCACACATCTCATTAATGACGTGAATAGTGAATAAGTAATTTGTGATTTCAAGAAAAAAAGTTTTTCAAATCTTTCGGTAAATAATAAAACCGGCTCCTTTTAAGAAATTTAAAGCAATTAGTCCCTTTGATAAATTTTGATAATGTAATAAGAAGAAGATTATCAGAACTATGTGTATTCAAAAACAGTTTGTTGTCACCTTAAACCTACCCTGGTAATATTGACCTATTATCCAGATTGATTAGGTTTCAAATTGTGTTCATTCTTTTTATTATTATCCTTGTCTCCTCTTACCCCATTTCCAGTCTAGTTGACCTTTTATTTTTATATATAAATGTTCTTAACAAGTATATGGATGATCAGATTGTTCGAAATGTATTGCGCTAATATATTACATCGTTCTGATAATCTTCGCCTTCTTATTACATGATCGAAAACCGACTCCATTGATTCACCGGTTAGGGAAAATCATCAAGTCTTTCTCAATGTTAATTTCATATTTATTAGTTACTCATGACAATAGTTTAATTGTAGGTTAAATCTATCCCATTTGTAATATCAACCAAGAGATTTTGTATTTCTATATTTTCAAAAATAATAACGAACATAAGTGATTATATTTATATATGTATATTATTTAAATTCGATGTATACACTTACTAAAAGAGCAAAATTTAGTCACATTTCCTTATCCATTTTAATACAATTCCAGGTGGTCCCCTTGGTGAACTTGTTCAATGGACTGATCTCATAGGTGCCCTCTATATTCTTGGACACAACATAACAATTACTTTTGAAGCTGTTGAAGCAAAATTGTAAGATTATGTTTTCTGAAAGTGAAGTTATTTTTTATACAGTGAATATGTCTGTACACGCGCAATTTCACAGTACTCTTAGATTTATCTTATACATTTCCAAATTTGCTATGTAACATATAGTCGTGCTGATAATAACAATAATAGCTTATTTTAACACCATTTGTTTAATTATAATGAAGCTTATTCAGCAATAGTTTTCCGTCCATTTTTACATACAACTTAGTAATAATCAGAAAAGTTATTAAAATGTTTTTTTTGTCATCAATAATTAGCTTCTATTAATCCTTATCTACTAACATTTTTCAATAGTTTTACTCCTTTGACGTACCTTTTTCATCGTATAACTTACTTAACTAGCAATTTTGACTAATGTTTCTCTGAAGGAGGACATGAAGGAGAGGATACATTAGTCACTGTTGTTGTTCCACTTGTAATTATGAAGTAATTAAGCTTCGTGTAAAGTTATAAGCATTATAAAGAAGATATGTATATTTGCATTTAACATACACAATAAGTCGATTGACATAATTATTAAACAGATAATTAGTGTAATATATTCATAGTTGACAAATTTATAGTCATGGAGTTTAAGCAGTTCATCATTATTTAATAGTTTACGTTCATCAACTTGATCAACACAATGAACTAAAATTTCTCTATACATTTTAGAATACTGTGTTTGGTAGGTAATGCAAGTTATCATTTATAGACAATAAATTTCATTATTATAAACTTTTCAGATTATTTTTCAAAGTGTGGAATACTGTTGAACTTGATATACGTAAATAATATATATATATATATAACTGATATATTGCTGAAGGTTTAACTTGGAAAATTTGCATCTATCATTTTTGACGATATAGCTGCTTACTAGATGGTATGATATTACGACATGGTGAACCTCATTGCCTCCGGGCCATGTACATTTCGTGAGATAAACAATTACCTACATTGAAAGTTATGAAAACTATGCGTTAAGTGATATATTAAATAGTCAGTTTTTATTTTTCAAAATCTGTGTAATTGATTAAAGAATGCATTAGGCATACAAACGTTATCAATTAATCATAATCATTATATAGCCTGAAACAAATGTGCATTACTATTAGTTGTCATACCAGATTAACGTGACGAGATGAAATTAACAACATAATTCGTAGATAAGTCGAAATAATGAAGTGAAAATGGCAATTAAAAGAACTAGATATTCAGAACATGGTTCAAAAAGACAATGAAAAGTATCTATGGTAGAACACTGGAACTTAAGATCTGGGGAAAAATAAAAGGTGAATGCACCTGCGTCATCTTAATTAACTCTGAGCCAACTACTGATCATGGTTAACTCAAATTCGAAACAGGTAGTCTATATCTACCATCATGACTCAGTTAAACATTTAGTGACTTCATGGATTGATTCCATGTCTTGGTTTGGCTGCACTTAGGTTTCTTCCAACATAGTACTTCACCAGCTGGCATTGTTTTTCCAAGCAGGGGTGGTTCAGTATACACAAAATATGTACTAACCATCTCCGTTGATTAAGATCCATTACCTCCCCAACCAATTTACTATCTCTACTTGGTACTATGCATCTAGACTCTATATTTCTGGCTTCGTTTTCATGCAGTGCGGCGGCAACACTTTGAAGACGCTTGCTATCAAAAGCCTGCAACATATACGTGTCTTCCATTTCATAGATGATGTTCTACACCCGTTTGGTAATAGAGTCTATCTCTGGCCAGTACACTAGCAGTTCAGTTAACAGATGGACATATCGCTTATGTCACAAGAAACATAAATCGCCAAATACCAACCAAACTTCCATCCGAAATCAACTCACTCGAGGTGACGTGATTCCCTAGAAGAAGTAAGTAGTCAACTCGTACAGTTATTTCGCTTCCTATGACCAATCTTAGAGTTGACATAAACCAGTCCCAAAACAATATTTCGCACTTAGAGGAAGAAAAATTCAGACACATACACTACATCGTAATCTGACTGAAATCTTAAAAATGCCTATTAGTTTCCTCCCCTATTCAGTGAATTTTCTATCCACATTGATTTATGTTTGCTAGGAACCCATATTAATTAATTTCTTTCTACTTGTTTTTGTTTATTCTCTCAATTAAAATTAATAGAAAATTGTTACATCCCTACTCAAATTCCATACCTTGTCAGGTAGAAAATAATAAATACGATTTAATATACACGGATATTATAGGATTTAGAAATTTGAAAAGAATGAACATCCGGTTAGTTTATAGATTTACGTTTAATGAAAAATATTGCATAACTTAAATTAAATTTCACCATTTTGTACATACTTTATGAAATAAATTGAAGTATGCTTCACTTATTTTCTATCCTGTTAAATAAATGAAATTGTTTCAATGTCTCTAGATGAAGTTTTATGCGTAACTTCTGTGTTACACTTTATTCTACTGTCGTGTACTACAGTTAAACTATTTTATATATTTTTCTATTGACAATCAGCTCTTCATCTCAATAACAATGATGCTATCTTATATTTGTTATGTGAAAATGTTAATCTCTAACTAAATCAATAAAACCCTCTTAAACAACTTTATTTCATATAATTTCTACCTTGTATTATTTCTGTATACTTCTTGTTTTAAAATGCACGGAATAATAATAATAATATCAATAGTCATTGAGAACAAGAAATGGTCTAATTAGTAATCGGTATTCATTTTATTTAAGAGTTAATCATCTTGAGTTTGAAGAAGAAAAATTATTAGCAACTTTCATTACTGAAAATGAAGTATTTTTACTATGTAAGAACAAAGATTCTAGCAGAATATTATAAATTCATTTTAGTTCGTTTGGCTACCTGTCATCTGCTTACTATCTGTGATGTTTAAAAATCATCATTACAAAATGGGTTTAAATTACTTATATGAGAGACTTTAGTTGGAAGTTATTTTGAAGACAATAGATTGAATATTGTAAATATATACTTCCTTACGCCTGTTACTCTTCGTGAAGGAGCATAGGCCGCTCACCAGCATTCTCCACCCAACCCTGTCCTGGACAATTCTTTCCAGTTGTTATCCATCTTTTTCATATCTGCTTCTATTTCCTGACGTAATGTGTTCTTTGGCCTTCTCTTTTCCGCTTCCCTCCAGGATTCCAAGTTAGGGCTTGCCTCGTGATGCAGTTTGATGATTTGCGTAATGTATATCCTATCTACTTGCAGCATATTTTCCTAATTTCCCCCTCAGCTAAAAGTTGGTTTGTTTTCTCCCACAGTAGGCTGTTGCTGATGGTATCTTGTATAGACAACTGTTTAGAAATACTTGTGCTTTTTTGGTGATAGCTGTAGTAGTTCTCCAAGTTTTAGCTCCGTACAGTAGAACTGTTTTGATATTGATATTGAAGATTCTGACTTTGATATTGATTGTAAGTTGTTTTGAGTTCCATATGTTCTTCAAATGTAGGAATGCGGCGCTTGCTTTGCTAATCCTCGCCCTTACGTCTGCACCTGATCCTCCTTGTTCATCGATGATGCTCTACAGGTATGTGAAGGATTCGCACTGTTAAGGAGTCCCACAATAGGACGAAACGACCGTCCAGTGCTTCCAAGTTTTCCATGGTGGTCTAGTTTCAATTGACTCATGATCTCAACAATTGAAATTACTAAAATCTCCACAAAACCCCCTTCTGATATTAAAATGAGAATCATCAAATACATAATTGTATTGCTAAAAATGACATCAATTTCTGTCAATATAACGGTGCATTTGAAATAAACAGGTTGAATAAAGAATGGGTCGAATTTCTTGTTAATAAATATTTGCCAAGTAATTGCTAGTTGAATACCATCCTTTTGGTTCAGGCTATTCTTGTTCGCCCATATATACAGCGTTTCTGCTGTCAATCTTTCTTTATGAGTATTAAAACCTTTCTGAAGTATTTTGATCCCTTAAAAATTAATCTTGTGTCTTGTTTCCAACGTATCTCGGACTTATTCCCAAGTTTCTTTAGGTCGACCGAGGATTTGGGAACATTTTCAAACAGTTTGTTTTCCTTCAACCTTACATTCAATTGTCTAGAAGTTTCTCCCCCATAAGCTGCATTACAATCATGACAGTTGGTCTCATAGACAATATTTTGTTGTTCTTTCTTTGGAAACCTATCCTTAACTTTCACTAACGTCGATCTTATTGTGTCACAAGCCTGAAAATACACTCCTACATCATAATTGTTTCGAATCTTCTTGATTTCTTCCGATGTTTCACTACGGTATGGGATGACTACGATGAACTTCCAGTCTTTCGGTATACATTCTAGTTTAATTTTTTCTTTCATTTCTAATAATCTTTATAAACTTTGGGGTGTTTGTTATCCTTAAGTGTAGACAAAACTCTATTCAATTCAACCTGTTGGTCTTCCTTATCTGTGTAATATAAGATCAAAAGAAATCAAGAGGATTCTAAACAAGCGTGATATAAGAGTGTATTTTCGGGCTTCAGATTTTGGACATGTTTGATGATGATTGGCATGTATAATCACTAAATTTTATTCATTTTTGTTAGTTAATTTTCTCATTGTCTTCCTCTTCTCTTTCTTCTATGATTTACTTATTGTTGTTCTAAGGAATAGTTAAAAGTGAATTTCGAAAATCAATTTTAGTTCTATCGGTGACTATTTAGGTATGTTTCTATGTGGCTATTTTTAAATCTGTTTTCGCTTTCGTTATGACATGAAATGGACATGATCGTTTAAACTACTTGATTAATTTAACCAACTCTGATTAAATGAGTCTTATTTGTTACTAAAACTAACTATTTCCTGTTGTCTATATTTTCGGTACTTAAGTGATATGTTTTAATCAGGGTTCTCCTGCACTGGTGATGCTTTTGCATTCCGAGTGGTCTTATCTACAGTTTATGACTAGCTATACATTTCACATTAGAATAAAGAACGATCACTGAATGACAGAGTAATTGTTTAATGGTTTTCTGGTGGATGTAAATTGAAGATAAAAGCCTCTTTCAACTGTCAGTTTGCTTGTTATTTTAAAGTTTATAAAACCACTGACCCTATTAGGTTTATCAAACTTTTATATACAATAAATGCGTAATAAAAATCATTTTGTATCGTGTTTTCTCTAAATTAAGGACTCCATTATGTAAATTTCGTATATTGGATACATTTGGAACAGAAGCTCTTTATAATCGTAAAAAAGAACTTTGGAGTGGATTACATTTGAATTTACAACAATTCTATACATTTTTCCGTAAGTTATCCATTATTTCACATTTTAGTGGAATTTTGTTCTTTGAGTTGGATGGTTTAGTCACGACCAAAGACATTCAGACAACAAAGATGGGTTAGATAAAATAAAAATAATGCGTTTGTGGAACTGAAGATTTTGAAGTCCCTTCTTCAGAATATACCAATCAATTTCAACAGTACTCTTAATTATGACCATATTCATTAGTTTTCCTTCGGTTCTTTTATTATTATTTTGTCTTAATTCATGCTCGATTTCATTCACTACATATTTCTGCTATAATATGTTATTTCAGCCTACACATTCTCAACAATAATTGAGTGTTATTACTTTTTGGAAATTCATTTAATTCACTCTGATTTGTACATTTTTGTAGTTGTTATTGTTTCCTTGTTTTGATACTTCTAGCTCATTCACCGGATAATACATTTCTGGGTTTTGTTGCTGAAATACTTCCACCCAAATCTAAATTCTCTCATCAATCATCATTTAAACCTGTTGCTCTTGTCTACGGAAAAGAGGCTTATATGTGGTCTGTAAGTTCCCTTACATATTAGAATAACCAATAAATTATGTGTGGGGTAGTCAAGTTGTTGAGTTTTTAGATGTGAATTTCTTCCATTGTGATTATATTTAAATTAAAATCATTCATTATACATGAACAATGCTTCAACGACACCTATGGTCAAATTACCTGTAATTTGTTTTAGGGATTTAGCCATATGTATGAAATAGTCAAAAAGATTTTAAGCTAAAGCGGGATGATTTGGTGAAAATGTTTTTGAACTAGGCAGTTTTATCATAAAGCTTTCATTATCTACCTTGACTATACATCATTAGCAAAATAACCCTAGAGAAATGAGCTATTCGAATTTACCCACACGTAATCAACAGCTTGTTTCGCTAACATTCAGTTTAATTGATTGTTGTCATCATTTGTCCTGTAATTGTCTGCATGTATATATATACGTTGGTTGTCCTACATTTTGACCTAGTTTTCGACCTTATATCTGGTCGATCAAATTAATTTTGGTGGCTTGTAAGCTTAACCTATTTCAAACAGTCTCAATTAACTAATTGCGAATTCAGCATGCCCTTCGTATATGGATTATTCGTTTGTTGGTATCCATATTTTTATTTCTTGATTTCTGATGAATTTGATATATGGATAGTCATTCTTTAGAAAAACCATCACTAGGTATTCTTCAATTCTGTATGTGTAGATGGATGTTGCAGTGTTTTCGTTCTTTTGAAATAACATTTGTAAGAAGTTGATCTTTGATAAAGGGAATAAAAAGACCAGATAATTTTTAGAAGTTTGGTTTTCAGATCAGTCAGCACCTAATAAAATATGACGAAATCGACTTCATGTATCAACCAATTAAAAAAGTCATAAATCATTATAAGGCCAAAAACTAGGTCAACATATGCCAAAATATCCCACCTCCGTCTCCAAATTTGCTATGTTTGAAGCGATTACGAGTTCGCCTAATCTGAGAGCGGAACGAAGACTCTGTGACACTACGACAGATAAGCTAGCTGTTTCGACGCGTCCCAGCTCCGCTTACTAGAGATAGAAGTCCAAGTTCGAGAGAGGTAAATATATTCCACAAGCCGTCAGAAGCACGAACAACCACGACGAGTCTAGTCGGAATCACACTCATTTATATATTGATTCATGTACTCATTTTTGATTAATAATTAGAACAAAATCACATATATAAAAAATACTTCGTTACAACAAATCATATGCTGAGTATAGTTCATGTTAACTTAATATCACAGAGTAAAATGTCATACGGGAAATCAGTAACAAATACTGTACTGAGTAGTCATCACATTGAATTAAAACGGAATTAATGTTGAATAAGAACTAGGTCAACATACGCAGACAACTATAGGACAATTGATGACAACAACCAATCCAACTGAATGTTGGCGAAACAAGCTGTTGATTATGTGTGGTCAAATGCGAATAGCTCACTTCTCTCGGAATATTTTGCTAATGATGTGTTGTCTACAGAGATAACGAAGGCTTTACTGTTAAATTATCTATCACACTCTATTGAAATTCGTAAGCTAAATCGTCTAATAAACCTAGAGATTAGACGTCTCAACTCTATGTTTACTCAAAAACTCCTATCTCGTAAAAACTCTCCAGTTATGTGGGAACTCTATAAAGAACTTAAAGGTGACAGGCACATTAGAAACGATAACCAGCTGAATGTTTGTGACTTAAGTAAGTCTTTTATACGTCAGTCATCTGATATCATACTCCCTACATCCACATGTTTGAAGAATAGTTGTGTTTCTAGTTTCACTGAAACTAATGTCCGGAAATGTCTCCAGTCACTTAATTCATCCCAATGTTTAGAACCTGATGGTATCCCAAACCTTCTTAAAACTTGCTGATGTCCTATGTTATCCATTCACGAGTATCCTTCTCAATTAATCTCACACCGAAAGTGTGGAGAAAGATAAAGATAATCCCTATGCCTAAGAAAGTATCTGGTGATACGAGTATGAAATTTAGACCCATAGCAATAACTTCACCTTTCCTCAAAACGATGGAAAAATTATTGATACTCCCACTTCAACCTGCAATAAAAGAGCTCATCGATCCGTATCAGTTTACTTACAAATGCAAAAGAGGCACCTTAGATGCCGTTGTTGTTTTTGCATCACAATATAGTGTTCAGCTTGGAAAAAGGTAAATAGTATGTTCGATGCACTTTTCTGGACTATGCTTCTGCTTTTGATTCCATGTCAAGACAACTTTTACTTAACAAGTTAATCAGCATCAACACTGACAGCTGGATAACCAATGGGCTACGTTCCTACCTCTCTGGTAGACAACAGTACACTGTGTTTGAAGGAGAGTGTTCAACATCTCTCCTGTCTCATGAAGGTGTGCGATAAGGACCCGTTCTTTCACCACTTCTTTTCTCTTTTCTTCTGCATGACCAAAATTGCCGAAAGGTCAAGTTATGCATCAGCCTTAAAGATTATAAGAAATAGTTATTTATATAAAAATTCTAAAAGGTAGTTGTCCACTTTATGAAGAAGATAACAAACAAGATCGTAATTAGCACTTACGATTTGTAAAAATTAGACGGTGTGATAAAACCATGAATAAATAACAAAATTGAACATGACTCTTTTGTATATAGTGATCAGATTTGAGCTAATAAATTAATATAGCTTCAGTTGTACACAAATTCCCAATGCAAACTTTATTCCAGCCAATTGTTTTCGTGGATAATCTTGAATGGTGATTCTCGCGGGATATAACCAGAATCGACTATCCATTCAAGGGCTGAATTATTGATTGATTTCCATTCCTTTTTAGATACAGTCATGCAGGATTTTGCCCGGATATTCGTTTAGTAGGTTTGCGATTTATGCGGCCAATATAACCTGCTTCGCAAGATCAAGTAAATTGATAAATGTACATCAGGGTGGCCCAAACCGGCCGTTTATTCTTAACATTTCCCTAAATCAGGTTCTTACAAGTAAAAACAATTCGTACTCCACCAGAATAAAAAATCTATCTCAAAGATTATTTAAAATAGAGCGTTGTAAGCTTTGAAACTAAATGATCGGTTTACGTAGATCATTAACGACTATTAGAGATGTCGTTTTTAACCATTATCGACATATTTCTTATGTTATAAATTTTTTTCTATATTCATTATTTTTTCTACCGAGACCAACTTGATCCATTTTACACTTTCAATCCTTGTTCACCTCCGTTTTATATTTTTACTGGATGATTCTTGTGTATTTTTTCCATATGTTTGGTATTACATCTGACTTAGCAATCAGTTATTTTAAGAGTTGATTTCAGCTAGGTGTAAGTTTTAAAAAACTTCAATAACATAAATACCCAAACTCTACTCTGGGCTAAAATTAAATTCATATATCTATCCATTTCGATAAAATCCAGTAACACTAGATTGTGAAGTAACTATTGTTGTTATATCATCATTTGGTCAAAATAGTCTTACTGATTTAGTTACTTATTCAGCATTCACACTCAGATACTTAACATAATTAGTATTGTACTATCAATAGATCAGTTGCATTTTGCGCGTTGTTTTGTAATAAAATAACCCACCAAAATCTGTGTTCATTGTTTTTCATTGCAAATAAAATATGAATGTTCAACTGTGTTTTACTTTACTACATTTGTTATATTCATTAATTGTTATTCATTGTTTCTCTCATTCATTTACTCATCTTTGTGTACATCATCAAATCATTTTTTCTCTTAAGAATAAAACAAATTATTTGAGAATTTTATCTGATTACTTTGAATTACATGGAAATGTGATGGATAACGTTGATAAGTTGCCAAAATTTGTGCATATACATCAAATGCAATATGGTCAACCATATTTAGAGTTAATGTCGAAAGCTCAAGTAAGTTTATATGCAGTTGCATTCATATTGAATTGTCCTGTTAAAAAAGTTGGGTTTTTTTCAGTCTATTATAACTGGACTTATTAAGAAACTATTTGGTAATCTGACTCAGAAATGTGCAACATTAAATAGTGTTCAGAATTATGATGATAGAGTTTAACGTACTAATGACCACAAAGCTGACGAACTGGCATTTTATCGTAAATAGTCACTAGCATTGTTTGTTTCTCAAGATATCAGTGAAATATTAGCAGCGAACTCTGTGTTTGACGCATACTAATCCTATCTCATAGGAATTCGATTGATGAACAGAGTGAAGATGATTTTGGTGACAATACTATGCCACTAGAGAATTAAGTCAAGCGACAATTGATCTTAGTTATACTGCCAGGGTTCTTCCCCTCTCTAAATTCTCCAGTTATCTATTCAGTGTCACCTATAATTTCTCTGAATGTGAATACTATCTATTAACTTTACCAAAATAATGATAATGGATCCAATGAATTAGTGAACCGTCTCACACACACATAGATATAGATATTAGTACAAGGAGGCACCAAATACATATGCACCACACAGGTCTCATTCGATATGTGTGAGGGCTGGAGTACTGCCCGGGTACCCAGACCGAAGCAGGTGGTTTTCTTAGGGGGCCACACCCCGAGCCTTCGACCTGAAGGTCTGATCCACAAGGCAGTGGAGCATCGTAAGGAGATGAAGTCCCATGGAAGCCGGTGACCAATAATTGGTTCATACGCCATTTGTTCCCGCAGGATACTGGAGCCCATGTGCACCATCAGTTTGGAGTCCGGTTAGAGCGCCGGACATTCGCTTTTCGTCCTCTCATTTTTGTAAACAACAGTCCCGCCACGAGAAGGCAGTGAGTAGGACTTCCCTGGCAGAGGCTATATACGCGTGGCCATGTGAGAGCATTTCGAGAGGGAAAGTTGACTCTTTCCATTCTCAGCCGTACCAGGGCATTTGGGGGCGTCTCACACACGCAACACAAGGTTGTGAATAAAAGGGAAAAAAACAATAAAATTGAGCTGATGCGATTCAGAAACCAACACCATAGGATAGATCAGTGCTAGACATATTAATCAGTCATTTGGATGAAACTGCACGGTTAGACTGTTTGATTTCGAAATCTGTTGGTTTACAATCAAGTTTATGAAGGACATCAGAAAAGAACATAGTATATATGTTCGATCAAGACTTGAACTAATTTGGTATCCTTTAGCGGCCCTAGATCTGACTAATTGGGTCGTTTGCTGCTTGTTATTTCACTGGATTATACTCCTTGAATAACATCTTCAAACCCTACTCTTTCCGATTACTGTTTATACTCTTACTACCCCTACCACTACGGGATTTGAATCGATGAATGCATCTCTGTGCTAATGTGGTATGGCAACTCGAACTGATGTATGTACCTTCGAAGTTCCACATTGCTACTGACTGACTGTTATTGAACTATACATGCCGCTAATCATTGTATATAATCATCGACTTAAAGAGCGTCGGTGAATAATGGAATTAAATAAGTCAAATACGAGAAAGGATTTTCGAATCCGTATAATTCGTACAATCGCTGTTCGGAAAGCAAAGCAAAACGAAATAATGCGCAATGGAGATGGCGAATAAGCCGACACCATTTAACCATGCGTGAATCGATATTTACAGTCACACAAAAATAAGTCTCATACGCTTACATAAAAACAGTAAAGGTTGATAAGCGAATAAGTGACAAGGTCAAAATGTGGTTTAAGAGCAATGAATATATTGATCAGTCCTGTCCAAAGGCTGGAACAACCTAGATGTGCTCGACATAGGGCGAGGCCTTACAATCTAATTTCATTAGTTAATCAAGGATTTTATACATTTGCATAAACCACAACTATTCATTCGATGTCTCTCGACCTGTTTCCTTTAGTCGTCCATTTCTGTGCTGCAGAAAACTTTAGTCAATAAACATGCAGTCCCATGTACTACTAAGACTCAGAAGTAGAGGCGCTATATTTTGACCTCATACTCTCTTCTCGACCAACTTAGGTAAAGTTTACTCTGTTCTTTGTTCCCATAACACCGGCCCTCAAATTGAACGATCGGGAAATACGTGTTAATTACTTGAGTTTGAGACAGAAGTTTCACAAATCTAACATTGCGATATGTTATGTCTCAGTGCAGTCGCAATCCGTAATCGTCTTACAGTCAAACTATCCGTAAATGTCAGACTATATTCATCTATAAACCAACTGTGGATTCTAAAATCACAGAGATAAAGAGAATGGTCATTATCGTTGACTACTGGAACCTATATAATCAATGAAGATATAGGACCTGAAATTTCCCTTACAATTATCTTGATAATTGATTCATTAGTATGTAAGTAATTTATGAGTGTGCCTCCCAGCATGTTGTTGTGGTCATTAATTTAAATTTTGCCAGTCAAATCTTGATTGAGTTTTGATGAAGGCGTTGTCTACTTTATCACAGCCTAAAATTTATAATGGATGAAAATAGCAGATATTGATGTGATTAAGTGTATGGTATTCTTCGCTAAGTTTGTGTCAAGTTGTACTCCTCCATAAGACGTTAGTTATTCATAGTTGATAGTTTGTACGTATAATATGTCACATTTTCAATTGCATCTTCCTAGTTTATTTCCTTTAGTTATTTTTGACTATAAAGGGTGAACTAAAATTATGTGAAACATGATTATCTGACAGTTTAACGTGACCGATTTCATGTGGAACGAACTATATTTTTATGATATCATAATGATACATTTTCGTGTGATATCTTTAATTAGTGGAGATCTATTTGATTGAAGTTAATTCAAGTGTAGAGTTAAGTTGTTACTTTGAAATTGTTGAGAGACGAGTTTTAATTGATTAATTGTAATGAGAGTGTATTTATTTTTGTTTGTGTAAAAACATAAACCACTGTAATGTTAACTAGTGGGATATTTTCTAAAATGTATTCTAGATATTGATTGGATTGGGATTTCCTTACGAAGGTCCTGCGCCTTTAGAAGCAATCGCCAATGGTCTTATTTTTCTTAATCCTCGTTTTAATCCGCCTCACGGTAGAAGCAGTCAAGCATTTTTTGCTTATAAACCTACTTCACGTTCTGTAAGTACTTATTTTAAATAGTTTTATTTGATAACGTATTATTTAATATACCGGTAGGAAGGGACTAAAAAAGAAACCAATAACTTAGTTGACTAGTCATTGAGTGAGGTTGAAATTTTAAGTTTCAAATTTTAATTCATTCTGCTGTGTCTTCGGTACATATCTTACTAGACAATTCGCTCTTTTACTGAGTGCTTCAGAACCAACCAATTAATAAGTTTTTAATTTTAATTTTATGTATTTAAAAGTGTTTATAAAGAGTAGTAGTTTATCAAAGTACCTATTCTTCGCTGTCTTAGACAAGGTTCTGTCTTCTGACATTCCTTGTCTGAGTGAGATATAATTGCATGCGATTAACATTCACGTTTTTTGCTAATTCGTATATTACCAGCATAAATCCACTTTGATTCTCGTTTTTATAATCCACTCAGTCATACTATATATCTTTGAAATGTCTCATATTATCAATTCTTCAAACTACTGTCTATTTAATTATATACAGTTATATGTTAGTTTGTTTAAACTTCCTTTATTATCCATATCATGAATATAATGAAATTTGTCTTTTTGCTTACCATTAGTGAACAACATCCATTAAATGTAAACAAGTTTACCAGTGACGTTGTGATATTCTCTGAGGTTTATTATGTAATCAATCGCAAAGCTTTTATTTTCATTCTGGACATCATAAGGGATCATTTCTATCTTAGATGCAAGTCTTCTTCTCGTTTACCATTTATTTAGAACGTAATATATCTTCACTAATCAGAATAATAACATGGTTTAATATTACGGCGTAACCAAAATATTTTCGCTTGCCATGATTTATTACTATTATACGATAATACGACCAGTGACTGGGATTACACTTCTGCCAGACTAGATAGTCGATTGACACACTATACACATTTTGGATCACATCATACCATTTATAAGATTCACGACCATAAATAGGGAGCCAAAGTATAAGCTAGACAGTACTTCATTCAACACTCATTAAGTTGAGTATCTGTCCCCAAACGCCCTGGTACGGTCGAGAGTGGAAAGAGTCAACTTTCCCTCTCGGAATGCTCTCACATAGCCACGTGCATGCAACCACTGCCAGGGAAGTCCTACTCACTGCCTTCTTGTGGTACGGGTGTTGCTTACGAAATTGAGAGGACGAAAAATGAATGTCTGGAGCTTTAACCGGGTTGGTGGATATGGAGGATCCACCTAGTGGTGTACGAAAACCCTGATTCTAAGCCGATAGTACAAATGGGCTCCAGGATCCTAAGAGAACAAATGGCGTATGAACCAATCGTTGGTCACCGGCCACCATGGGACTGTATCTCCTGACGTTGCTCCACTGCCTTGTGGATTAGACCTTTAGGCCAAAGGCTCGGGGTGTGGCCCTCTAAAAAAACTTCTTGTTTCGGTTTAGGCACCCGGGCAGTACTCCAGCCCTCACACAAATCGAATAATTTATGTGGTGCATATGTATTTGGTGCCTTCTTGTACCTATGTTCATGTGTTTAAATAAATATATAAATAAGCTGCCCCCGCTCAATAACCAAGCAGATCTTGTTTTCACTAGCCACACCTCAAGGTTTGAGTTTAGTTCATATGTAAGAATAATAATTATGATTTAATTCATTAAGTAAGTACACATCTATGTACTTGAATTTGAGCCATATTGTTTGTGTCAAAGTTAGTGATACTATTTGTAGCGGTTCGAGTTTATCCAGAAGGTATTTTGTTTACTAGGAGAACATACAGCGTAGCGTGGATGAGGAGGGCTGGAAAGGCGAAGAACAAATGGAAAAGTAAGTTGACGATGCAGAAAGTGCACACAATGCATTTATATTTTCTACGAAAAACAATAGATAACAATCTGCGATAACACAAGCTTCGGCTTATGATAATCGTGGGATCGAAACTAGAAGCTGATGGTTTAACCCGCCCCAAATCTCGAAGAGTATTTAAAACAGGATTTGAACTTATGAGCTGGTCGTTAAAAATTTAATAATTTAACCAATGATTCATCACTCCAGTTCATATTACTGACCATTACTAAACAGTGTCACTGATAAAATCAATTTATATATAAGAACAAAATATTGCGTAATTTGTCTTGTTTGATGCAGAAAAAGTAATGCGTATCATTAACTTCGAATAAGCAAAGTTTACTCCAATCTAGACTATGACATCTATGTCGTTTTATTATGAAGATTTAAGCATGTCAACAGCCTATTGAATCATTCCGAAATTATGAACATTTTCATGTTTATCCTATTGAAATAAAATCGTTTTTTTTAAAATTTAATGATATAAGTAGTTAAATTATAGCTGCGACTATAGACGAATGTTAAATTGATCTTCATTGAAATCATGAACCAATCAAAGTCAAACCAACATTTAAAACTTGGATGGCCGTTTCGTCTCAATATGGAGCTCATTAGCAGTGTGCGTCTACAACTTCCTACCAAAGGGAATGGAACCCAGGACCTTTGGTTTCGCGGGCGAACTTTTAACCTATAAACTACTGAACCACGACATTGCGCGACCATCTTTCATTGTTTCTGATGGGTTACTACCTCATATCCAACACGGATTAGCTCCAATGGTCACGTCTTCTTATTAAAACTCCGGAAATATCCTCTCGAAGCTAGTCTCTATCATTAAACCTTGACCTTAATAAAATATCAATGTTTATGTTAATCATGAAATTATGGATTAGTTTTATCACCGACCCCAATTTATTGCCATAAAAAATTGGGTAAAATTAACACTGGTACTCATGTGTAGAATAATCTGTGAATAAGCACATACCTAGGTAAAGTAACACCCCTGACATAATTTTTTCTACCTTTATTTATCTCATCAATTTGATGTTCATTTTTGCAATTATTTAAACTGAAAATCGAATCCAATGATGTATGTAAATATTTTATCATTGTGAAATATACACTTATTCTGTTATTAATTTAGAAAAATGTAATAGATATTAGAAATTGTAACTTAAACAAATTTGTTCTATTTGAAAAATGCGATAAAATGTTCAGCAAATATGCATATATCCTATTTTCAAAAATGCTATTTTAATGCCTACAATTATGTGCAACCGTGTAGAAGTGTACATTATTTAAAAACACCTAAGGTAATTGCAGTTATTTACGATGCAACAAACCAAATTCAAATCCCTTTGTAGTGTATGCTACTTATGCTGAAAGGTATAAGTAGTATGTAACGGCAGTTGGGAATGGAATACCTGTCGATATAAAATTGAATTGAACAGAACGGGACGGGAAATAGAGAGCAATTGGAATAACAACAGAATTAAAAGGATCGTGAAATATTTGAAAGACGAATGTAGGAAGATGTACAAATAATGTATTCAATGTATGATTTTCATGTTTAAGCCACTGTGATTTTGCAATAAACAATAAATTGGTTTTCCATACCTGAGTTCTCATTCACTATACCCTTAATGCTTTTTTATCCGTATTTGTGTATTATTCAGTAAGGAAGTGACTATAATAAAGCCTGTATTAAATTGCTTATATGGTTGCGAATAGTAGAGGTTATATGTTCAATATCAAGTATTTTCGAGCTTTTTCCCATTTATTAAATATGTGAACGTATACGCCGGCGCCATTGTGATCGATTCTGATCCATGTCACCTACAGTCTCCAACCATTGGTTACGATAGTCACGCGCACCCCAACAAAGTAGTCTGCATTTGCCAACATGGCTCAGACTAGAAGTTAGTGACTTCAAGGACTGATGCCACGTTTTGGTTTGGCCGTCCCTAACTTTCTCCCAACCATCTCCAACACCAGTTAGCATTGCGCGTCGTGGTAATCGGTGTTCAGGTATACCTAATACGTGGCCTAACCATCTCAGTCGATGAAGATTCACAACCTCACCAACTGATTTACCATCATTCTCTAATACCCTAGGTCTAACCACTATTACTTACCCGGTTATCCCAGCAGATGTGAGCAATATTTCTAAGACGTCCGTGGTCAGCTTCTCAGATAGACGTTAGTATAGTGAGGAAAATGTTGAATATCACTCTTTCAAGTATTATAAGCTAAATTCATTCTACAAACATATTCCTGACCACCATAGTACACTAAATAACTCTCATACTTCTCCATTAGAGTTAATTATTTACTTGAATATTAACCAAGAAAAATCCTCCAACCACGTTTGTTTAAGGCGGTTGGATTAATCATTTGAACTGATGGATTTTATTCTTTGAGACTATTATCCGTTACCAATTTGAAATTCTTCCCTATTTAATGTAGACAAGGACATAATGCAATCTCTTGATCACACTGGGTAACATGCAAGAATGTTTGGAATATAATTTCCTTTCTCTAAACTTATGTTGCTTCGGCACTACATTGTTCATACAGAGCGAAGTAATTAAATTTAATCACAACTTCGCTTATATTAAGAGTCTCATCATCTCTGGTGCATTGGCATGCTAAGACACCTAGATACAGCTCTCTTGTATTTTCTGACCTTTCGTCAATTGTAGCGTTGGCAAGATGTCTGGGTGCCTAACGAAAGGTCTAGTACAATCCTTAGCAGTCGGCTCTGTGTTACTCATTAAAACTGAGACATCGTCTGTAAAAGTAAAAGACATGCATAAGCTTCAGGTGTGTTTATCATAGATATCTTGGAAGCATTTCCTGAGTATCATGAAATATTTGAAAGAGCGATATTGTGTTTAACCATTAGGACACTAGCCAAGTATAGTGAATTGATTAATGAGGTAGTGAATCTTTACCGACTGAGAGTGGTTGGAACATGTCACGTGCGCCTAACCACTACCTACTTTGAGGGGAGATGTTAGCCGGTGTTTGAGTAAATTAGTGTGGCTAAACTAAAACATAAGGTCAGTCCGTAAGATCGCCTGTTATTGGATTGAGCCCTGTTGTTAGATGTAGGAAACCTGATTGGTGTCTGCAAAACTATCGCTATAGTGGTTGGTTGGCATGACTCAAAATCAGTCACAGTGGGGAAAATGCATTGATTCTTTGTGTTATTTTGAGTTTTAAAATTATCTCACAAATTCAATCTTCTTAAATCATATCGTTTATTCCTAATCTTTTCTATTACCATCAATTTAGTCACTACATCTATTACTGTGCCCTTAATCATGATATTCGGTTACAACGGTAAATATGCTATCGCTCTTTGTCGTCCTCTGAATCCCTTTAGTTCCAATATTTCGTCACTCATACCTATTCATTTCGTCTTTTTTGCACCATATCGTCAATGTTTGGTTTTATTGATTATTATCATTACTATTTTATTTCGGCTTCTTTGCCACTCATATTTTTAATTACAGCTTGTCGTGTTAACATAAAATATCAACTAGAGCTAATTCACATCTGTCACAGGCTTCATGTCGATTTGGATTAGCTGACTTTTTCCTCCTTCACAAGTTTAAGATCATTTTATAGACAATTGATGGTTTTTACTATGAATGACAAATTTGCTTTGCTTTTGTGTTTATTCAATTGATTAGTGTGCTATAATGTTTCCACACTTTCGATTATTTCAATCTTAGTAGCTTGAAACGAGATATATACATACGAAGGGGGTTATTCTAATCTTATTTCTATTCTTTAGAAATACGGGTTTTGTAATATACTTCTATATCCCCAAATAACTTATAAGTAACAATGCATGAACTATCCTCACGTCACGACCACTTTTTTTCTATTTCTGCAGCTTACCAGCCAACATCCGTACATAGAAAATCACATCGGTGAACCTTACTCATATTTGGTTGATATGGACAATGAAACACAGATACGCTTAACTATCAAACGTATTCTGACCAACATTTCTGTAAGATTTCACTTTTAAGTATTTCCGTTTATCACGGTTACTATTATTATTATCATAACCTTAAGCAAACCATTCACTATATATATATATATATATATATATATATATATATATATATATATAAACCTTTTATACTTTAAAATAAATACGCTATATAAATATGTTAGCCTTTAATAATCGGTTATAAAATATCAGCTTTTTTATAGAGGTGAATTGAATCTTAGAGTTTTCATCCTTAAGTTATGCATTTCGGCTGAGCGTTTAATTACTGTTCGTTAATTTTAGAACGGAACCTATCGTCCTCACGAATATAGTCCGTGGGGTTTACTCGAACGCCTTAATGCTTATTTGACACGCCAAAATATCTGCGCCGCACCTTTTTACAAAAACTTGATCCAGTCTCCATTGCCGATAACAAAAGCTGATGCGCCTCCTAAATTTAACTACCTAGATGTCCCTAGCACTACTGTTTCATGGCCTCCAGCATCAAGTTTGAAGATAGTTTTGGGATCTCGTGGTAAATCTTGTGCAGATGTGTGTATAAATCTGGGAACTTCAGAACATACTTTATTACTGCCTCCCGATATTTCTGCTTACTCCATTCGCAACAAAACACAACATCCCCAAATACAGAATGGCTACCTCTACTATCGTTCTATTCACACTACGCCTTCGCAAAACTTGTCTTATCTTTATGCATTTCGCTGTTCTCCAGAACACTTTCCAAGTGTTAATCATCGACTAAACCTTCAACATCTCGGTGTTTCTTGTCCTAATATTACTTACACAACTAGTCCAATGGCACCATATTGGGACGATGCAACAAGTTCATGTGTTTTTCAAGCTAATCATGAATGGTTTGACTGTACTGCCTCAGGGACTCTTAATGGATCTGATGTATTTTCTCGTTTTTGTCCTTGTCGTGATGCTCTTCCTAACCAGATTTCTTTATGTTCTAACTGTTTGTGACAAAATATTCTATTCCTTAATGATCACATGTATAGAAAATTATACAAGCTACATTTATACTTTCACCTTCCCGTCCGGTTGTATATGAATCGTATTATGTACTTTCTTTAACATTTTAAGTGTACGGTGAAGCACTGAATATTTGATTGTTATTTTCTGTCGAAAAGCATTTTTCCCATTTCAGTCTGCAACATTAATATATTTACTAATAACTGCATTTTAATTTGTATTTACTTCCTATAAATTCTAGTCGACGAACTTTTTTCTGTTGTAAAGTCTTAATTCCTTCAGATTTTTTCGTTTTAGAATCTAATTGTAAATTTCTTTTCATGCTTGTACAACGTATTTTCGAATTATATAGAATAATATTGTTGTGTGTTAGGAAACTAGATTATTTTTCCCATATATGTTTGCAATATTAAGTTGATTTCATTGACAACTGATTTGGTTGAGTTTTGTGAATGAAGAACTGTAGTTGTCTGTTTCGATATTCTGAAGGACAAGAGATGTTTGATGACTTTTTAATAATCATTTTTAAGTATTAAATAGTTTGCTAATTTTTAATACATAAGTGTCATACATCTTTGCAAGAATTGTATCCATCTGACACTTTATCATGATAAATGAGCATGATTGTCCATCATAACAGGTTTTAAAGGATTAATAAACAGAGTTTGTATCTGGCGATCTCAAGATGGTACATGCCACTAAATATATAATTCATTTACACCTGAAATTCGACAGTTTATAATCTTTAAAGGTTGATCAATAGTCAGGCTGATTAGTAAAAAACAAGAGCTTTGCGTTTGCCTTGTGAATAGTTTACATTAAACCATGTGACGTTGTGAAGTGGTTTGGTATTGCCAAGCGAGATGTTAAAACTTCGCGACCATCATCAAAATATAGACCACCGGATTCTCTGTGCTTGTAATAACCACAGTTGTAGATTAATCGTAAGAATAAAGTTGCCATCTTAATCCTGTCGATAACTTCGCATGGCTAGTAGAGTAAAGTCCCGCTCGTTCGATAGCCATAATTTTGCTGTAGTTTAATAAGACTCGAGTTGCAGTGGATTGAAGTTATATGAATAAGGGTATTGTGAACGTTACTTACAAATCCATCGTAGACTATATTTTTCTACTACCTTTAGTATGTATTTGGTTATGTGATGTGGTGATTGCTATTGCACCGAGTTGCATATTTTGTTTCAGCGAGTTACTGGTTTGTTATGGCTCCAGCTGCCATTCATTGGATAACCTCCGTCAAGAATACCTAGTATTTTGTGCTTTTACCAAGCCTCCTAATTAGCCCAGTGATATGTAAGTGACATCCATACTTTTGCTATTGACTAAATCCCTTTTTAGATTTCACATTTTAAGTATACCATACAGTTTGCGGGAATCAGCACTGAACAAAGCATGTATTATTCAACTGTTTAGTTTGAATGGTATGTCATACCATGCTCAAAAAAATCAACCTCACTGCAATAGAGCCCTACATTGATAACCAAATAAGAAGGAAACAGCTATAAAATAGGAAGCCCATTGGGCTTAATTAGGAATCAATGTGTACAAACATTTATGGTAAAGAGTTTTAAAAACTTCAATGTGTATAATGAGTCTTCATCAAATGAGGTTGTTGGAACATGTATTACAGTTATGTTAAATCCATACAACTGTATACTTATTTTGAAATACAAGTTCTGATCGTCAAATGTGTGAACTCGATTTTACTAGCTAACTTGTGCTCGGCTGTGAGACTAATTCTGACGCCTTATACATACATCGTAACAATATGTTTCTGTATGTGTGCCTGTCTATCTGTTCTTCTGTTAATCACCATTATTCTACTGATCCATAAATAATTAAAACTCCTTGGCTGCGGACTCATTCGAATACAACACATGTGGATGTGTTTAATCCAATCATGGATTTATTTTATAATAAAAGTTCATGGATATCATATTTCTAGTGTTATTTCTATCCTGGTAAAAACGATGATGATTCTAGAACCAGCATCAATATGGATACTATCTAATATAATTCTGGTGTTATCTATTACAACTTAAGTCCAGTTGTGCCCATTTAATCCATCCATATTTCATTTTCTTTACCGCTGTGAATATCAGTTAATTAACACTGCCTGTAGCTCTTCTAGGGCCACTGCTGGGCTCAAGGAAAAAGGTTGGGCATGGGGTCAGCAACCCCATAACGTAGAAAACAACTGTGCCAAAAAAGTGCTGTTCGGAATAAATTAGGAATTATGATACCTCATGATGAAAGCCGAGATTCCTCGAAAGTCACACGGCCGATGCTCCTTTTAACAACGAAAGCAGCAATTTTTATAGATAAATGCAACGTCTGAACAATGTGCTCAGGAAAGAACCTGACCATTCTGATGGGAGACCTAAACGCCAAAGTCGGAATGGACAACACCGGATATGAAGATATCATGGGATGACATGGACTGGGAGAGAGGAACGGAAACAGGGAGGCATTTGTGAACCTATGAGCATTCAACAAATTGGTTATAGACGGTACAATATTCCCACACAAACGCATACACAAACTACATGGGTCTCACTGGACCACACCATGGAGGACCAGACAGATCACACTTGCATCCGTGAAGAATTCAGGTCAACGGAAGATGTGAGAACTAGGGGAGGAGATGACAGATTAAGATCACCACCTGGTTGTTGTCAAGATGAAACCGAAACTGAAGAGGCGATGAACAACTGGGTGGACAGCAATTCATGGGTCCAAAACAGACTTCTTTCGACATGTTGACAAACTCAACACTCCGATTAGTAGAACACTTTGAAGAAATGTTGAATAGACCAGATCCATTGAATCCATCGGACATCGAAGCAGCACATACAAACTTTTCTATAGATGTCAATCAACTAACGATTGAAGAAATCAGGATGGCCATTAGACAAATCAACGGTGGGAAAGCAGCTACATTAGACAACATACCATCTGAAACACTGAAGTCAGGTATTGAAGTAACTGTAGACATGCTTCACGTTCTATTCAAGAAGATTTAGAAGGGGGAACAAATGCCACTTTGTTCTTATTGATTCCCTTAGTTGTACATTGTTAGTCTTTTGATTACATTTGAATTGTTATTATTTGTATTTTTTTATCATAGTTTTTATTTTCCTTACGCCTTCACTAAATTTTCGTGTTTCTTCCCGAACTGCATCTGTGTTGTTTTACTTGACACTTGATCTTGGCGGCAGCCATATTGATTTGCCCCTCCCTTTGTCTGTGTGTTCTATCCAATCAGGATAGAATAACATTCATTTGTTGTGACTGGTAATTTTCCCTCATCTTTTATCAACTCCTTTATTTATTGTAATTTAGATTTTATTGATTGAACAATTATTGGTTGAATAGCCGGGTGGTAATATTTGTTTAGGTAACGATTTACATTTAAATTTATGATGAATTATAGGACCGCTATTTACCCGATTACTTGTTTTGATTTCGACGGGAAAGGACGCTTGTCTAACGTACCTGGACGGCTATTCATCTATCCGAACCGTAGTTTGGATCTTACATTCCCCTTCCTCTTTCTTCTGATGGTTGATCGGATTATGAAGACCTCGATATCCGAGCGGTAACATGGAATACACTGAACAGTTTGGATGCAACCAGAAGATTTGGACTTTGAAGATGACTTAGCTCTTTCATCCCATACACATGAACAAATGCAGATGAAGACAGTTAGTATAGCAGCAGCCTCTACATCAGTAGACCTCAACATACATAAGGGAAAAGTAAGATCCTCAAGCGCAATACGGAGAACACCAACCCAACCACACTTGATGGCGAAACTCTTGAGGATGTGGAATCCTTCATCTATCTGGGAAGCACTATCGATGCGGACGTAAAGGCGAGGACTGGCTAATAAAGGACAACAAATGGGACTCAAAACAACTTCCAACCAATGTCAAAGTCAGTATCTTCAACACAAACGTCAAGGTAGTTCTTTTATATGATGCTGAAACTGAGAGAACTAATACAACCATCATCAAAAATGCACAAGTATTTCTAAACGGTTGTCTATACAAGATACTCTGTTATAACTTTTTGTTTGAATGTTTATTGTCTTGGCTCTTTTAATGCTACCTTTTGTATCTGGTCGTCGCTGATTGTTATGTCGGAAACGCCTATTACTTATACTCGGAACAAGGGACAGTTGCTATTTTAGCGACAAACTATAACAATTGGCAACGGGGTGAAAAAAGTCTGAACCTTCAATCTTCAAATCAGTGACTCAAGGTCAGCCTGCAGTTGGACAAAATTCAGTGTAATTATTTCGAACAATCAGCATACAAAATTTTCGCCAATGTCCTTCAACGACATTGATTGTTAATTAGTCATACAGTATTTTTCATTACCGTGCTGATTCAGAAGATGGCTATCTCTTCCGATCAATTACAGTTGCTATTCGAAAGACAACAGCAGCGTTTCAAAATGAACCAGTTGAATGTTTTAGACAATTTACGCACACGGCTGTTAAATCATCCATTGTTTGGAGATGTGACAGAAGTTGATAAATTAATTTCTAATTTGCATACAGAGCTAGAAAATGACTGCAGAACGTATGAACTGTAGATGAGACCCTCCGTGAATCCTTGATAAGTCATAATGTAAATGAATTAGTAGCAATCATTCGTGATATGCCCAGTGATCCAGAAATGTCTATTTCAGAGACATGCCCTGTCGTGGTTTCAAATCCCATTGTCATCGAAACACCATGTACAAACACTGGATTGTCCAGCTCACAGGAAGACGATGTCTTATTAAATGCTCATGAAATTATTGCAGTACCCGCCCACAAAAAAACAGAAAATGAATCAAGCATTATAATGAGTACATTTGCATTAAATGGAGTTCATCATTCTACGACAAAAGTTTCTGATGAATATACTTACTGGGGTTCTGTAGTTGCTTTACCAGATATGATTTATCTTAATGACTCACATGCTTTTGATCAAATTTCTTACGAAAATGAGGAAAATTTGTCGGATGCATCAAACGATGATCAAGAACCTAATAAAACTTTGGTAGATGCTGAGTATTCTAGTGATCGATTATCTACTAATGAAATTTTCCAGAGATCTGATGAAAATGTTTCACAAGAATCAAACCTTAATGACCTCATATCTAGTATCGCTGATCCTCACCATCTAGTCAGTTCTAGTGGACTCTCTACTCAATGCCAGAAATATGCTTTAAATATAGTCAAACTAACTGTAACTTGGGAATACGAGTACCCAACATTATTTTGTGGGGGAGGATGAAGTTATAAAATTTAAAGATGGATCTCAACATAGTCTTCAAAAAAAGGGGAGGTGATATGATGGAAAGAAAAGTCGATTTTCGATTGATTTACTCAATATGAGTTTTATTCAAGATTACTTCCGTTTTGATTCAATGCAATGATTACTCAATGCAGTATTTGTTTTCTTTTCTCGCATTATATTTTATTCTGTATAATATACGATATTCTTGTATTCCATTGACATGAAC